ACTGTGCTTTTGTTCCGTATACACACACCTATGAGAAAGTTTCATGTCTAAATTAGGCAGAGTGAGAAGTGAGCAACAATAGCTAATGATAAAATGAGACAATTATAACACCCCGTAATTAAGTGATGTGAATGTGGTCTCTCTCTCTCTCTCTCTGAGTATCTTACTGTGATGCACCCACCTTGTCGCCTAAAGGACACCCTTTCCAGCTGCCCTGGGCACATCTGTACTGCCGGCATCGCTACCCCTGTGATCCGGGACGTGACTAAGATGAGGGTGACTTGAACGGAAGCACTTTGATACCAGGACAGTTTATCTAATAACTGAGTTGACTACTAAGTGACTACGAGCTTACGAGCTATTTTTTTGTTGTTGTTTTCTTTATTGATTTTAGAGAGAGGAAGAGAGAGAGAGAAACATCGATGAGAGAGAACATTGATTGGCTTCCCCACTGGGGATCGGGCCCACAACCTGGGCACATGCCCTGGCCAGGAATCGAACTGGCGACCTCTTGGTGCAGGGTCGACGCTCAACCACTGAGCCACACCGGCTGGGCCCAAGATGCTTCTCAGCAGGATGTTTCTGAGAAGATGGAGGGTTACCGGGGGGAGATGACCAGCGTGCGGATATGGTTTAGCTTTGTCAGTAATAACAGCAGCAGCTCAGAGAAGTGGTCACTTCTCATCACGTGGTTCTCACGGCCGATAGATATAAAGCCGGACCAAGTCTTTCGTGTTTCTGGGGTTCACATTTTATTTCCGTCCGCTGTCCTGCGTCCAGGAAGTCCGCACCCAAGGCCATCGATAGGCTCTGTGACGGTAAGAGAGACGGGGTGCAACGAGATCGGTTTCCCCAAAGGCTCATTGAGATGAACAGGAGCTACCTTCCTGCAGCGTCCCATCCACGTCATCGTGAAATGAACGTGAAGGGAGCCTTCTCCGAGGACCTGCTGCCTTGGTTAGCGCTGGACAAATCCGCATATAGCCAACCCCACTGCCGAAACCCTGGTCCTCACGGCGACAAGACCTGTGCCGGGGCAGAGATGCTCTGAGCACGCCGCCACCGCAGGGAGGCCCGTCCCGTGAGTGGGAACAGGGGGAGAGGCAGGTGCATGCCACGCCCAGGACCCGTGCCCGAGGTCTTCATCGCCTGCGGAAATCATGGACGTGCCCCCATCTCCCACTTCAGAAGGACTGCGAGGTGAAGGAGTTCATCTTCCTTGCAGGACTCGTGGGTCTGCCTGTGGGCCACGCCGTGAGGGGCAGCAGCTCGGCCAGTGGCGGGCGCGGCTGAAGCTGTTGGCACCAGGAGTGGGCACCGGTTCTGTGTCCAGGACAGACTGGGTGAGGGCCAGAGGCCAGTGAGGAACTGGTGTGGGACAAGCCTGGAGGTGTCTTGCTGCAGCTGTGTTTGCCAGGGCCCTGGGCACGCGTGTTCTGATGCCCGGGCTCCTCGACGTGGCCGCGGGGGGCCGGCAGCAGGCGTGGCTTCGAGGGGCTTTCGGAGAAAGAACTGAGGCTCTCGGGAGCAGCGTGATCCAGGAAGTGAGCGTGAGGGGTGGGTCCTCCAGGGTCCTCCAGGGGGCACCCAACGTCGGAAGGTGCCGGAAAAGCACAGGTTGGACAGTCCGTGGGCACAGATTATGGCTGCGGACTTGGGGGTGCGGTACCTCAGGAAACACGGCAAAGCCAGCTCCCAGAGGGGTGTGATCCCCCAACAACTCTAGGCGGTGGTGAGAAGGTGGGAGTGGATACGGGACAGAGAAGAGGAGAGAGGAACCCAAAAGGGCATCGAGCAAGGACGGAGAGCAGCCAGGACAGGACAGTCGCCCTTGGGAGACGGCAGCTCAGGGAGGCGGGAGGCGTTGATGCTCGGAGGGCGCCGCCCACGGAGGGGCCTTACTTTTCCTCCGGAGATGGGATCAGGTTTTGGTTGCGGGAGAAGTTGGCCAGCGGGCATGTGGACCAGTGAGGGAGGTGCTGCAGGAGGACGAAGAAACAGGCTGTGTGTGGCCTCTGGGAGGAAGTCCCCTCTCCCGGACCGGGGCTCTGCTCCCCTTCGGGAAGAAGGGGCATCCTGGCGTCTCTCCGTAGGGTCACTTCAGCTTGTTAGGGAGATTCTCTGCTGTCTCGTGTTCCCCGCACTCCTTCCTAGGTCGAAAGCCCTCACCTGCTGCCATGTCCGTGGGCGGCGTTGGGAGGGCGCCTGCCCTGCTCCGTCCGCATCTGGGTCCCGAGAACACAGAGCCCGTGGAGCGGCGGGCGTCTGCCCGTGGGCCCCGACCCATGCTTGGCAACCTCAACGTGCGTGGCATACATTTTTCAAAGGAGAAATGTTGCCACTATTACTTGAAAGCAGAAAAAGACTATAAACCTGCAGATAACCGTCCATGCCCACATTTCTAGCTCATGCCAGTTTTGCAGGGAAAAAAAAAAAAAGAACCCTTAATAGATCTTTGCGGAAATGACACAAGAGTCTCACACTAGGGACTAGGAAGGAAAAGCAGACCTGAGAATTCCATGTCCCCGTCTCGACTGGAAAACCCAACGCGCTTAATATGTGCTGTGTCCCGGGCGTTGTGCCCCGTGAGGGCGGAAGAAAGTGCTGACGCAGCGACTTGTGTTTCTTTCTGTAACTTTTCGCGGAGCAGCCGTGTTCTCCTTCCTGGAGCGAGCAGGTCTGGTGATGGAGAGGGTTTCCCTGCAGGGGCCCCTCCGCCGGTGAGGAGACTTTCCCCTCGCAGATGGACTCTAAACACCCAAGGACGGCCGTGTAGTTGGCCCGAGACATCAGGGTGCGGTCAGGGCGGCTCAGCCTTTCCGAGACTGAGGACCTGCCGAGAGCCAACCCCACTGCCCCAGAGACAGAGGCCGGGGCAGAGGGGAAGGAACAGGAACCTGGAGGAAAGACGGTGCGTGAGGTGGAGGACCCGGAACCAGCATCTCAGAAGACGTCAGTGAGCCTTGGCATGGAAAGGGAGGGCGGTGTATCCGGGAGACCACACACGGTGCTGTTTAAAGCCACGGAACAGAGAGAGAGATCTCGCAAAGCGAAAATACAGTCACGGAATTTTAGGAATTTGTAGAAGTCGGAAAACGAAGCAAAGGGAATTTCCAAGAAAGGAAGAAAAGTGATTTTAAAGTAGGCAGGGATATCCCGGGAAAATTAGAAAATTGATCGAGAACCCTCCGTGTTCAACTAATCAGAACCCACAGAGAGAGACGGAGAAAAGAGAGGAAAGAGGAATCCGAAAGCATTGACTAGTGTACTCTGCGGAATTGAAGGACGCGGATTGCAGGGACCGCAGACGCCGGACGGTGGGAGGGCACCCGCCCGGGGGCGCCAGGGCCCAGGAAGCACGGGACCCTCCACCCTGCAGACAGAAGGCCGGTCAGACACGGGGTCCCCTGCGCGGTTTCAAGCTCGGAGACCATGGGGATCGGCAGCGTTTTGAGAGACCCTGATAGTCGAGACCCCATAGGTACCAGTGCTGTCCGTTCAGGGTAATTGGATAAAAACATGTTTATAATTTCAAGGTCTCATCACTTCGTCTCACACACATCTTGTCTCAGAAAGCTGAGAGAGACTGTTCTGCCCAAAAACGAAGAGGTGAGTTTCTACAAAGGCATAAGACCCAAGAAGCAAGCGATAAACCTGAGTACAGCCCCAGCCAGGTGGCCCAGCTGGCTGGAGCTTCCTCCCGTTTGTGGGTGCGATCCCCAGTTGGGGGGCGCACAGGAGGCAACCGCTAGACGCCTCTCTCTCGCACATCGATGTTTCTCTCTCTCTGTCTCCCTTCCTCTCTCTCTAAGATCGATGAACATATCCTCGGTGAGGATTAAAAAACAGTACAGGGGAAGGAATTTCTGGGAAACTCAGAAGAGAAATCAGTTATCATGTTCCGAGAAGACAGAAAAATTTAGAAAGAACATGTAGCCAACAGACACATGATATACATCTCAGCTGGAGAGAACTCCTCTTGAAGGGAGTTTGTTTTACATAATTATAGTAGCTGTTACAGCGGTACACGTGTAACTAAAGAGTGGATTTAAACCTCGAGCCGAAATTTTTGAAAAGATTGGGGGCTGGGGGATGACTCTGTGTGTGTGTGTGTGTGTGTGTGTGTGTCGGGCTGGTTACACGCTAAGCTTTGTGGAACTGTTTGGCTTCTTTTTACGTCCGTGTTTTAGATAAAATGTATCAAAGTGGTAAAGGTACAAGAGGTGGTTACAGCATATAGCCTGGGAAGAGAAAAATAGGACCTTTAAAAGAAACAATGAAGCCCTGGCCGGTTTGGCTCAGCGGTTAGAGCGTCGGCCTGCGGTCCGGAGAGACCCGGGTTCGGTTCCCGCTAAGGGCACGTACCTCGGTTGCAGTTTGTCCCCGGCCCTGGTTGGTCGTGCGGGTGGCAGCCACTCGATGTGTCCCTTTCACATCGATGTTTCTCTCTCTCTCTGTTCCTCTCTCTCCCTCCCACTTTATCTGTACAAAAAATGGAAAAATGTCCTCAGGTGAGGATGGAAAAAAAAAAAGAAACACTGAAGACCAGAAAAATGTGTGTGTGTGTGCGGACGAGTAGTCGTTCCTAAAGGGAGTTTCCTTCCTTTCGCTTACATGACGTCGGTTTGGACGGTGTGGGCTACTCTGTTCCTCCTCTGCGTGGGCACAGCCGCCAGCTCCTGCTACAGCTTCCGGGGGAGTTTGTCACTGAGGCTCAGGACCCCCTTCCTCCTCATTGTGCTGAGAAGTGACCACACTTCCTGCGGAGTCCCTGTGAAATACGGGGCCGCCCAGCCCCAGCTGAGAGGGGTCTTGGGGGTTATGTGTGAGCCCCCTGGTCACCGCGGAGGCACCCCTGGGTGACCCAGCAAAGCTGCTCTGCCCGCCAGAGGCACCCTCCTTGGGGCACCGTGTCCTACAGGCCGGCTTCTCCACGCGGAGTCCCACTGCACCCGCTCCCACAGAACCCCCTGACCCCGACTGTCCTTTGTGCCCCACAGATGTCCCTGGGATCGCAGATGGACCTGCAGAAAAAGAAGAGGCGGGCACCAGCACCCCCGCCACCCAGCCCCCTGGTGCCCCCGCGCACCGAGGGCCGCGAGGAGAACAGGAAGAGCTCCACGGGTGAGTGAGCAGCCCCCCTGCCCACGCGGGGGCTGAGCCTGCATCCGGCGCTGCGCTAACCTCGCACGGCCCCCCACGCATTAACACGGAGATGCCGCTAACCAGAGGCCGCCTGGAAATAAACGGTCTGCAGTCGGGAGCAGCCTGCCACGTGCAGGCGTGTTCTGCAGCATCGCGTGGGCGTGGAGGGGGCGGGGCTGGGAGGGTGACCGTGGCTGTGGGCGTGTAGCCTGCGTCTCTGACGAGGGGAGCTGTGTCCTCCGGGTGACGTGCGTGCGTGGTGCCAGGAAATGGAGAGGGGTGCGGGGGTCTCCAGCCCTCCGGCCCCCAGTGCTTAATGGACTGAACACCACTTGGTGCTGGTGGTTTCGTGGACGCAGAACAGGCGTGGGCCTTAACGGACAGGGGCCCTGGGGCGCCCCTGTGAGGACGGCAGGTGCTCAGTGCCCGCTCCGAATGCCATCAGGTGGCCACTCAGATGCCGCTCCGTCCACGCGACACCCTGAGAGTTTGCCTCTGACCGAGGGAACAGGTGCCCTGCCCAAGCGGTCACTGTCCATGTGAGAGTTTCTGTGGTGGGAGCTGCGTGGCCATTTGCCAGTGTTCTTCCCCTCGAGAGCGCCTCGCTGTTCATACGGCAGCGCCCAGGGCCTGGCACCTGGTTAGCTGAGGAGCACCAGCCTGTTCATACCACAGACCCCAGGGTCTGGCGCCCGGTTAGCTGAGGAGCATCAGCCTGTTCATACCACAGACCCCAGGGCCTGGCACCTGGTTAGCTGAGGAACACCAGCCTGTTCATACCGCAGCCCCCGGGGCCTGGCACCCGGTTAGCTGAGGAGCACCAGCCTGTTCATACGGCAGCGCCCAGGGCCTGGCACCCGGTTAGCTGAGGAGCACCAGCCTGTTCACACTGGAGCCCCCAGGGCCTGGCACTTGGTTAGCTGAGGAGCACCAGCCTGTTCATACCGCAGCCCCCAGGGCCTGGTGCCCGGTTAGCTGAGGAGCACCAGCCTGTTCATACTGCAGCCCCCAGGGCCTGGTGCCCGGTTAGCTGAGGAGCACCAGCCTGTTCATACCGCAGCCCCCGGGGCCTGGCACCCGGTTAGCTGAGGAGCACCAGCCTGTTCATACCGCAGCCCCCGGGGCCTGGCGCCCGGTTAGCTGAGGAGCACCAGCCTGTTCATACCGGAGCCCGCAGGGCCTGGCACCTGGTTAGCTGAGGAGCACCAGCCTGTTCATACCGCAGCCCCCGGGGCCTGGCGCCCGGTTAGCTGAGGAGCACCAGCCTGTTCATACCGCAGCCCCCGGGGCCTGGCACTTGGTTAGCTGAGGAGCACTAGCCTGAACTGCATGTCATCGCAACCCCTTTCCCAAAGGGAACTGCTGCTCAGTTGCTCATTAAAATAGACCCATCCTTCCTTCCACGCTCCCCCCGCCCCCACCGCCGTTCCGTGCAGAAATTCTAAGACGCATCCACTATAAGTGGCCGTGTGGGTGTGGCTGGGGCTCCCCAGGTCCCACAGCCCGGGTCAGCACGGGCAGGGCCTCCTGACTCCCACGTGGAGAGCCAAGGCCTCGTGTCCCAGGTGCCCAGAGAACCAGCCAGGCGTGGGCACGCAGGACATCTGCCATGTGAGCCCTGCAGGGCACGCCCTCGCCGAGAGGCGTCCGGAGGTGTGGGAGGCTCACTGCAGCCCTCTCTCCACCACTTCTCCGTGAGGGTCGCGGAGGCCGGAGCGCCTTCCTGGTGAGAGTGATCTGGCAGGCTTCCGAGGTCGGGGATGGAAGAGAAGGTCTTGGCGGACATCCCCAGGCTGACCTCCATCCTCATCACAGTCCCTCATGTGCACCAACAGCGCCATAGAACTCTCCCCGAAGTCTAGAGGCTCTGGGTGAAGAGATAAGAATAATAAGAGCAGCCCCTGTCTACACCCAAAAAATATATTGAGCATCTTTTTCTTTTTAAAATATGTTTTTATTGGCCCTGGCCTGTTTGCTCAGTGGTTAGAGTGTCAGCCCGCAGACCAATGAGTGGCGGGGCGTGGAGGAGGCGGGGCGGATTCCAGTCAAGGGCACAAGCCTCGGTTGTGATTCATCCCCGGCCCTGGTTGGGGTCCTGCTGGTGGCAGTCACTCGATGTGTCCCTCTGATGTCGATGTTTCTCTCTCTCTCTTCCTCTCTCTCCTTCCCACTCTATCTGAACAAAAAGGAAAAATGTCCTCAGGTGAGGATAAAAATAAATAAATAAAGATGTTTTTATTGCTTTTTGAGAGAGAGAGAGAGAGAGAAACATCGATGTGAGATAGAAACATCAATTGGCTGCCTCCTGCACGCCCCCTACTGGGGATGGAACCTGTAACCCAGGCATGTGCCCGGACCAGTAATCGAACCAGGGACCTTTCAGTCCATGGGATGACGCTCCATCCCCTGAGCCACACCGGCCGGGCTTGAGCATCTTCTGTTCAGACATATTAGCTGGCTACTTTTGGGTCCTGACTCAAATTTCATAGTAAACAAACATGAGCCTCTAGTGGACGGCCTGTTAGTCCTCCGGCCTTGCCCATGGGGTCCTTCTCCTCGGGATGCTTCCCTGGACCCGCAGCCCCTTGGCTTCTCTGCACTTTGAGGGAGGAAGTGATGTGCAGATATGGGCCAGTCAGCTTCTTCCGTGTCTAAGGAACCATCACTAAGAGCAGGAATGCATGGGTGTCTCTCTTTTTATTTTTCTTTATTGATTTTACAGAGAGAGGAAGGGAGAGGGGGAGAGAGATAGAAACATCAGTGAGCGAGAACATTGATTGGCTGCCTCTTGCGCCCCCCACTGGGGATCGGGCCCACAACCTGGGCATGTGCCCTTACTGGGAATCGAACCAGTGACCTCTTGGTGCCTGGGTGGACACTCAACCACTGAGCCACAACGGCCGGACCGTGGGTGTATCTCTTGATGAAGAAATAATACTTCTGAATATTTTTATGAGCAATCTGATCAAGAGGAAGAGGCACTGAATCTATTCGTTTCTAGAAGATTCTAAACTTCACAGCTTAAAAAAAAAAAAGCATTTTTGAAAAAAAAAGATAGAGAGCATGACTTATGACACTCGTCATTCATATCCCCGAAGTCACTGACTTTCAAAAATTGTATTCAGAGAAGAAAGCCATTTTCATGTGACACTGTGGATGGATCCCGGTGTGTGGACAGCAGAGGGGACGGTGTGATGGTCCAGAGCGGGGACACCGCTCCACCTCCCCCACTCAGGCCTCCCCTGAGCTGTCTGAATGGACCGCCCTGCGCGGCGGGGCAGGCTGACGGGGTGGGGGAGCCGAGGGGCTGCATTGGCGGCTCCCCCTGTCACAGCGGGCACACAGAGACCGCAGGAGTGGCCGCAGACAACCCTGGAAGCTGGGACAGACTCACAGGCCGACAGCGGTTTCCTTTCCACTTGTCGGAGGTGTCGTGGGGCTTCACAGAGTAGTTTCAAGCCCGGTGTTTAAAATTCTTTGTGCCCGCTAGAAACAAATTGCAGCTGAGCAGATCTGTCGAAATCGGCCAGAGGACAGTACAGGATGGGTGTGGAATGTTAAAGTTTGAGTGAGGTTGATTTGGTGCCGGGTGAGGCTGGATTTGGTGCTGGATTAGGTTGGATTTGGTAGTGAGTGTGGTCAGATTTGGTGCCGGGTGAGGCTGGATTTGGTGCTGGATTAGGTTGGATTTGGTAGTGAGTGTGGTCAGATTTGGTGCTGGATTAGGTTGGATTTGGTGCTGGAAGTGGTTGAATTTAGTAGTGGGTGTGGTTGGAGTGGGTGCTGAGTGACATTGGATTGGGTAGTGGATGAGGCTGGATTGGGTGAGGGGTGATGGCAGTGTGCCCTCTGTTGGGGGGCAGTGTGCCCTCTGTGGGAGCAGTGTGCCCTCTGTGGGAGCAGTGTGCCCTCTGTTGGGGGGCAGGGAGCCCTCTGTGGGGGGGCAGGGTGCTCTCTATTGGGGGGCAGTGTGCCCTCTGTTGGGAGGCAGGGAGCCCTCTGTGGGGGACAGGGTGCCCTCTATTGGGGGGCAGTGTGCCCTCTGTTGGGAGGCAGTGTGCCCCCTGTTGGGGGGCAGGGAGCCCTCTGTGGGGGGGCAGGGTGCCCTCTATTGGGGGGCAGTGTGCCCTCTGTTGGGAGGCAGGGAGCCCTCTGTGGGGGACAGGGTGCCCTCTATTGGGGGGCAGTGTGCCCTCTGTTGGGAGGCAGTGTGCCCCCTGTTGGGGGGCAGGGAGCCCTCTGCGGGGGACAGGGTGCCTCAGGCCTAACCTCCCTGTTGATTCCATGTAGGTGTTGGACGGCAGGTGCCGCAGAAGCCCCCCAGAGGCACTGCCCGGGGGCCTCCCCAGTTAGTGCTCCCCCCGCCCCCGCCCTACCCTCCTCCCGACACAGACGTGGCCGAGCCCCTCGGCTCTCCCGGCGAAGACGCTGCTTCCCAGGCCTCGGACCCGAGACCCACACGTACGTGCTTGTCGTCCTGTCCGCGTGCTCCCGGCTCACTCTCTGCTCCCGGTGACCAGCTGTCCCGGACTTTCCGTCCCCGCCTTGGGCGTCTGTCCCTTCCTCTCGCTCTGCTCCCGAATGCGCAACGCAGTGTGTCCCGAGCAGTGGGCGCACGAGGTGCCCGCCATCGCTCAGATGGCGCTCAGACTTCAGGCTACATCGCGCCGTGTGGGTGGAGACAGTCAGAGAAGCTGTGTTCCTCGAATTAGACAAACCTCAGAGGCCGGGCTGCGTTTCCAAGCAGGGTCGCGGCCCCGCAGGCAGCGGGGCGTCTGTTTACGGCCACCATCCCAGCGCCTTCTGTGCTCTGGACGGCAGACTTCGCTTCCGGAAAAGAAGGTGGTTGTTGGGTTACTTCCTCTCGGCAAAATAATCCCAAGTCACTTTCTCGTTCTTTACAGAGAGTCACTTTCTCTTCTTTCCATCCTTAAAATATGTCTGGTCCTCTGGACGTGGGACGTGCTCCCCAAAGCAGATGGGTGTGTGTGGGCATCAGACATGCAGGCTTAGACCGTCCTGGAGGGGACAGTTGCCCCCAACTGAACACAGTGGGTCTCCGCCGCACCGCGTGGACCTCAAGGAGGCCACCCTGTGACGGCTCCTGCCGCCCGCATAGGTTCCCCAGGGGACGGCCGAGTGAACCGTGAGGCCGAGCACAGCCCCGGGTGCTCCGCAATGGTCCCGCAGCCAGGACTCTGAGGGGTCCCCACCGGACAGAAGATCCCAGCCCCTATTCTTTCCAATGCCAACCCCATGCGAGCCTACAGCGCCTCTTCCTCCCGGGCCTCCCTGGGTTTGGGGGCCACTGTCAGAGTGAGGGGTCTGCGGGGACACTGGTGGACAGGATTGGAGGGCTGCCGACAAAGGCCCACTGCTCCCTGGTGTCTCTGGGGACAGAGGCCTGAGTGCAGGCTCGGGCCAGCAGACACAGACCCGGGTTCTTCTCGCCCCTGGCTCCAGGTCCCCTCCGCACGGCTGGTTAATTCTTCCCATGCGGTCCCTTCCCCAGATCCACGTCATCAGACCTCCCTTGCCCTCCTCCCTCCGACTGTCGCAGGCGCACAGAAACCCGGTCTGGGGGAGGCCAGGAGGTGCAGGAAGGGGCCCTAGGGGTCCAGGCCCCGCAGGTACCAGGCCCACAGCCTTGCTCCGCCTCCGGCTCCGGCTCCGGCTCCTCTCTGGCTGCCGTGCTCCGAGGTCAGCATCCAGCGCCAGCTCCTCTCTTTCCTGACAACAGAACCATCCCGAGGGCAGTGATGGGACAGAGGGCTGGACCCTCCCGCCCAGCCGGGCAGTGTTCGCCTCCTGCATCCAGGTCTTGAGAAGGTGAAAGCAAACAAGGCGCTGGTTGTCCTGTGTCAGGGGACCTAGACCATGTCCACGTAGCTTCTGGTCCTTCCAGCCTCCTACCTGGGCTGCCCCGTCGACCTCCAGCTCTTCCCAGCTCTGCAGGAGCTCGGGGGAGACCGTTCTTTGTCAGCCCCCGGCTCCCACGGGTCTTCTCCTGGGTTCCCTTTCAGCCTGTGTCCTCCGTCACAGAAGCGGTGTGCTCGCGGTGGAAACGAGCTGAGGGCCCGTGAGGGCCAGGCGGCCGTGGCGGCACCGTCCACACGCGGGCTCGCTCCGCCCGACCACAGCTCTGTGGTCAGGGAGAAACAGCCAGCGCACGGAATCGGGCCAGCGGGAACCCCGTGTTGTCTCGGACCCTCCGTCTTTCTCCGTCAGGTGCCCCCCGGTACCTATGCCCTGGTTCCCGGGGACCCTCACCTCCTGTGTTCCCCCCGGGTCATCCTCTCCGCTCGCACAGGGACCGCGGTGAGACACTCGTGTCCGATGGACAGAGCGTGGTGGAAGTGGCGAGATCCCACTGTCACTGCCGACATGAGCCTAACGAAAGACCGTGATGTCTGCCCTCAGTGCCCTGTCACCCACTCGCTCTGAGCAGAGCCAGAGGCCCCATGGAGCTGTCCCCAGGGCAGGAACCAAGGGAGCCTCCAGCCCATGGCCAGTGGGCATCGGAGGCCCCAGGTCCACTGACGGGGAGGCTGAGTCCCTCTGCGGCCCCTGACGTGACCCCGAAGCACACCGTCGCTCAGCAGGGCCACGGCTGAGACCGCAGCCCGAGGGGCACGCTGAGTGGAGGCGCCGGGCCAGGCTGTGCACAGGCCCGCTGCCTAAGCCTCTGGGTCCCGGGGTTGTCCATTCTGCATGTGTGGAAACGAGCTGTCGGGGGAGATATGCATCTTAGAGCTGCTGCAGCGGCCCGAGGACCTCTTGTCCTCGGAACGAGAATCCCGGAGTGGGTCCCCGGAGTGTGACTCTCCTCCGCAGCCGAAAGTTGTCCTCAAGGGCTGAGGTTCCCTCCTCTGTCGTCTTCGGGGCTGACCGCCTCCTCCGGCTGGGATCGAGGGCTTGCGGCTGGATTTTCGGAGGAGAGGGACCCTCTCATCTCGTAGTTTTGTAGGAGAAGGAACCTTTCCCAGAACCCCCACCTGAACGGCCTGTCACAGCTCATTGACATGGCTGGGCAGAGCCCGGACCGTGTCCCTACCGAGAACGGCATCACCTCAGACAGCCGGGCCATCCAGCCAGTGGGGCATCGGCTAGCGTCCCCTGGGGGTGGGGATGTCACTGGTCCACCCGGAGCTTGGTGACGGGGGAAGGTGGGGGATGCACACCTCACGACGGCCAGCAGGGTCCCCTCCACCCCCGCTGGGCTGCAGTCCGGAGAATAGGGCGTGTCACGAGGAGATGAGAGAGAGGGTTGGGCGTTAGTGGTGATGGATCCCTGGGCCACTCAGAGGCAGTGTAGCTGCGCCTCTGAGGGTCAGAAGTCACCAAGGAGCCGTCCTCCTCCAGGGACAATTGCCATGCAGACCAGAGGACCTGCTGGAAATGCTCCGGACGTTAGGTGATGCCCGCCTAGGACCTTAGAGAGGGTCTGGTTTCCTGATCCCCTTAGTAGCTAAGAGGAAAACCGAACAGGGCTGGCGAAGTTCTGTGCCCGACCTACAGCTCTGGGGGCCGGGGTCTCATTTAGAAGTATTTCCTGCCATCAGAAGCACACTTTTATCTCGTGCAAAGTGAGCTTCCCGTAGACAAAGTGCAAAGCGCCTCGGGGCAGGTGGGAAGCTGTGTGTGCCGCAGGTCAGGGGCTCCAGCTCCGCCGTCACCTGGAGCAGAAGTGAGGCTCCTTGTGCCCGACCTGCGATGTCAGCATCCTCCTGGCGGCCGTGGGCAGCTCAGCCAGCGGAGTCTGAGGGGGCACATACTTACCGCACGTGTGGGAGAGGGACGATGCAGCGGTGGCCCCGAGGTCGTCGCGAACGGGTCTCTGGTGACACGTCTGAGCGGACCGGGAGCAATAGCGGGAGAGTGTCCCCGCTCTGTGGTCTGTCGTCTTTCTGTTTCGTGCTAATAAGGTTTCGTATTAACCTGGGGGCTGTGACCACGCACAGGGGAGCCTGGGGTGCATGTGTGAACCGGCCAAGGAGCCTGCTTCCCGCTGCTGTGTGCTTCCCGGGAACCGCCGCCGCGCCGCGTCGCTGGCGGAGCCCGTCCCTCTAACCACGCTGAACGGTTGGTTTTCAAGGTTTGCGGCGCTAGTTGTGGTGAGGCTACTAACAGGTCATCAGCGACTCACTCCCGTGAGAAGACCCTGGGGATTTAGAAACCGAGGCACACAGAGCTCAAATTACAGGTTCGCTTTGTATTTTTAAACCAAACTGTCCCGTGACTGTCAACAACAGTCTTAGGCATTTTCCTCACCAGCTGAGCAGCTCAGTCTTCCCTGCGACATCCATTTCCAGGCGGATGGGCAGGTGGCTTTAGGGAAGGTGGTCATCGTCTCCTGCTCTGAGTGACACGTCCAGTTGGAGCGGCTGCGGTGACAGTGGCCCCGACATCTCCGGCCGATGGTTTTCCGTTTGGAAACAGGCATCTCATCGGAAAGAAGGTAAAAGACGTTCTAAATAAGGAAGTAAAAGGAGAGAGTTGAACTACCCACTTTCAATGAGAAGATGGTGATTTGAGTTGGCTCCATGGAAAATTAATCACGATAATCATTCACACACTAGGCAGCCCGACTGTGCAGAGCTGAGGCTGTGGCAATGCCTGGGCCAGGACGGGCTCCGGCCCGTGGACCAGGTGCAGCCTGGAGGTTCCGTCCGCCCAGTGTGCAGCCCGGAGCTCGCCCGAGCAGGGCTGGGCGGGTAGGACGGGGATGCGGCTGATGCCCTTGAAGTGGGACCAGCCTTCTTACATCGTCCTCTGAAACTGAAACCGAAATGAAACACTTTGCCGGACTCCAAACCTGGTCGTTAAGCCCGACGCCGCCCACAGAGCGAGAGCCCTGTGGCCACGCGCGGAGGCACCGGGCAGCCCTGCGGGTGGGTGGCCGCCCGTACCAGCCAGGGGAGAAACGCTCTTGCCTGTGTCGTGTTTATTTGCCACGTGGCGCCCCTGGCCAGGGAGCCAGCCGCACAGCCGCTCCTGCTGCCCCGGGAAAGTTCACCGCGGCCACAGACAGGAAGGACGGTGACCAGTGGCCCTGCTCATAAAGTGGGCAAAGTGGAAGGAAAGTGACCACTGTGGGAGCAGCGTCTGTCCCTGCTCAGAGCACATTCGGGAAAGTAGGACTGAATTCTTCGCCGCTGTTCTCCCGCCGCGGACCCACTAGACTCACCCAGGGTGGACTGCAGCTGCCTCGCCGCGGACGCAACGCCGTGAGACGCGCGGTGCAGTTAGCACCTTCAGAAGACTCCGCCGGCCTCATTCCCTGTCGCCCATTCCTTCGCAGCCTTGTACTGTCAAGTCACGGTGTCCCTGGCGTGAGCAGGAGTCCGTGGAAGCTCCTTGAGGTCCAGGCCACGGGACCAGGACAGAGGTGGACACTTCGAGAATTTTGCCAGCTGAGCGCTCACCACAACCATCAATACAAAGTACGCTATGTGAGCTTCCAACTGAACGAACAATGGTACAAAGTAGCAAGTGCTGGGAACGTGACGCCCGATCGTTACCGTTGCTGCGTCCCTGAGGTCAGGCAGCGGCGTTGAAGAACCGGTGCGATTCTAGGGCACAGGGCGGTGAGGTCCTACAGAGCGGCTGGACGTGGATGGGCCGAGTGATGACACCACAGGATCGGGCAAAGGCCACCACCAGCATCTCTGCCAGCAGGACCTCGGGTTCCGTCTCCGACAGCTCAGAGACGGCCAGTGCAGGGAGGCTCGAGGCGTCGCCCATCCAGGGGACAGCCGCAGTGGGCTAAGACTGACTGGCAGCGCAGGGGACAGTGGAGTAGGATTCGGCCGGTGCTCTGTGCTGTTCAATCCCCAGGGCCAGAGGCTGCATGCTGAGGGTGGGGGAGCCGGGATGTCCCCTGTGGCTTCACACTCTGCCGTTTATTCCCACAGTTTACTGCTGTGCGTCATTCCCTAGCCACGCCAAGCGCTTCTGATGACGGCCCTCTGGACCTGCGCACCTGACCTGCCGTCCACTGTCCCGGCCCCGACTTTCCCGTCCACCTCCGTTCACTCTCTAGAATTTACGTGTAAATGCATCAACGGCAGAGACTCGTTTGCTCAGGTTTCATGTTTCCCTGTAGGCCGTGAAGACCTTTATCCGTGAATTCTCGGCTGAGCACATGGACCGTCTGAGTTCCCCTCTTACCCACACAGGGCTAGGTTTCTGCTCAGAGCCTTGCCTCACTTGGACTCACTATTCATTCGGATATTTCTTATTCGATATTCAGTTGCAGAATGTCTTCCTTTACACTAGACTGTGCCCATACGTTGGGCAGTGTAGTCAGTGCGGAGAGAAACGTCCTGTCCACCTGGTAAAACTCCGTGCCTGAACCAGGGACTGTGAGTATCTGTAGGAACACAACTCGCGCTCAGGGATGCGCAGGACCCAACGTCTCTGTGAGTGTGTTTCAGGTGTTCCCCTCCCCGTGTCCCCCCAGGTACAGGGATAACAAAAGGAAAAGGGAGGAAGGAGGGTGTCTCCCTTCCCCTACGCACTGGGCACTCAGTCCTTGCCCAGCCCCCCATGGGACATTTGCTCCATGCCAGCCCTGTGCCAGCTCCGGGGCTCCTAAAGTGTGACCTCGCCTTGGAGATTACTTACCCGGGCTGCACGTGTGAAGGGAACACTCCAGCTCCATTTGGCAAATGCTAGTCTGGAGGTTTGCACAGGGGTGAAGCTGTCCCAGGATGTGACAGCCGCTTCCCCGGAGGGGTGTGGCTCCTCCTCTTGGACTGGGAGAGCCCTCTCCCTACCACTGAGAACTCGTCCCCTTGGCCCCCCTGACATGACAGGGCGGGCGCCACCTCCGCGTGGAGACTCGGGGTGGAGGGCGAATGACTCCCTTGCTTAGGGTGGCGACTCCCTTGCTTAGGGTGGCGACTCCCTTGCTTAGGGTGGCGTCTGTTACGGTGCCGAGATGCATTTCGACTGGAGGAGATGCTTCCCTCCGAGACATTCTTATTCAGTGTCATCGCTCACAGTGAGAAAGAGAACCAGTGTTTTCTACGCGTGTGACCGCCGACTGGCGATCAGGACGCAGATGCCAGCCATGACCCACGTAGGATTATCGCAGCTGATAGTGACGTTAATAACAAAGACCTGTAAGCTAGAACTTAGAGATGCTAGAACTACATGTAACCGATCTAGTGCCGCGTGTTGGTGAAAACGACAAAGGAAAAAAAAAAAAAAAACCCAGAAAGTTACAGAAATTAACTTTCACAAGGAAACAAAAAGTTAGAAAGTGCCTTTTTTTCCCTCTTTTGCATTGAAATAAAGAACTTTTGTCTGATAAGTAGCGGTCACTGGCCCTCACGTCATCGAGTGGGGAGTCTGCACGAGGAAGCGCAGTGTTTGCCTAGATGGGGGGACGCACCGGGAGGCCGTGTGCTCACGCAACACGAGGTGTGCGGGAAGCGGCCGGGGCTGCGGGGAGGCGGACAAAGTGGAGGCCGCCGGTAGGAGCAGGGCGGGTCAGATCGCTGTCCGAACTCTTGGTTAAGGGGCAGAACGTGCAAGAGACACATCCAACTCTGCTGAAAGAGAGGACCTGGGTGTGTGGGGTGAGAACCAGCTCAACAGAGCTGAGCCAGCCCCGGCCGGTTTGGCTCAGCGCTTAGAGCATCAGCCTGAGGACTGAAGGGTCTCGGGTTCGAGTCCCGTCAAGGGCACGTACCTGGGGTGCAGGTTCCATTCTGGCCCTGGGTCTGAGTGCAGGAGGCAACCAGTCAATCTCTCTCTCTCCCTCCCCCTCCCCCTGGCCCTCTCCCCCTCCCCCTCCCCTCCCTTCCACTCTAGCTGGAAATCAATAGGCAAATGCCCTCCTGTGAGGACTAACAACAAAAATAGAGCTGAGCCAGTTCACAGGGGGAGGGGGAGACCACGGCACCCTGACCTGCCGGGTCGTGGCACTGGCTGGAGACGTGGATTTGGGACCGTGTCTGGGTCTCGGCCCAGGTGCCCGTGCGCAGCTGTGTGGGCTCAGGGCCGTGGGTGAGCAGGAGGGAGACGCACGGATGTCCGGCTCGGTGCTGACCAGCATGAGGATCCTCGCGAACCTGGCGAATTAGTTAATTAATTCAGGGGCCGCTTATTGTCTCAAAGCCTTTGCATCTCGGAAACGTTTTCCTTTCTGGCTCAGCCTCAGAACCCCTCCTTCCTCGTGGATCGTTTATCCTCCGTAACGTGACGTGTCCCATAAGAGGGGCACAGAAAGGACCAGAGGTGAGGTGTTCACATTGTCTGAGCAGTGAGACCCAAACCCAGCCCCCTCCCCCCCGTGCCGGCCAGAACCCCGGTGAGCGCCCAGCAGGCGCCAGGTCAGAGGGACGGGAGCTCCAGCCCCCCCACCTCCGCCCCGTGCCGGCCAGAACCCCGGCGAGCGCCCAGCAGGCGCCAGGTCAGAGGGACGAGGGACGGGAGCTCCGCACCATCCTGCAGCTGCCGTTGGCGTGACTTCTGCACGTTCACCCGAACCCGCCAGTGGAGGGCGGGGCTGTGGTCCTGAGCTGCGGGCACGGTTGGCCGTCTCGGGTCACAGGGGCCTTGGACCTTCTAGGAAGAGTCTGAAATGATCTTGTTGTAAGTAGATGCTCCTAGTTCTACAGATGAAACAGTTTGGAAAAGGCTTAGTGCAGTTTTCTGAGACTTTTCTGGTCTCAGCCGCTGTGATAAGTGCCCACATCTGACATCTGTGTTTGTGATGGACGCTATCAATGGCTGATTTTCAGTTTCCGGGTTAGTTTGGGTCCAAAATATGATGCTGCTTGTTCACAACTTTCATAACTCGTGTAATCTGACTCAAAACATGTCCGTTTGCAGACTTCTGTGTTTGATAGCAAAGCAAACTTTTCTGCGGTAGGAGTAGGATATACTTTCCAGACATTAGGAGAGGTGAGGGCCCTTCCCACAAGCATTGCAGGCATCTCGAAGCAGCACAGCCATGACTTGTCCTGAAATTCATCCACTCCCAGAGCCTTTCCTCCTCTCCACTCTGAATAATGTATATGCATGTGTACGTACGCATGCTCCTGTGTGTGTACATGCCTGTGTACTCTTGTGTGTGCACACGCCTCTGCTCCTGTGTGTACACACGCCTCTGTGTACTACTGTCTGTGCACACACCCCTGTGTGCTCCTGTATGTGTGCACACACCCCTGTGTGCTCCTGTGTGTGTACACGCCCCTTTGTATGTGCACACGCCCCTGTGTGCTCCTGTATTTGCACACACCTCTGTGTGCTCCTGTGTGTGCACACGCCCGTGTGCTCTTGTGTGTGCACACAACTGTGTGCTCCTGCAAGTTCATGTGTGTGCACCTGTGTGCATGTGTGTATGTGTGTGTGTGTGTGTGTGTTAACTCCTTCATCACTGGTACCCAACACACGTGGAACAGGAGGAAAACTCAGAATGGTCTGCTCCCATTCAGATGCCATGGCGAAATGACAACTAGCAAACTTCAAAGCCTCGGTGAGGATGGAGGACCAAGTCCCATGGCTCAGCGTTCTCTGTGGTCTGAGTTCCCAGGCTCCGCCTGTCACCAGCAGCAACACTTTCTTTGCTGGAAACTGCGAGATTAAACGTATCATCATTTTCTTCTCTGTTTATTCTGCCTTAACATGCTCTATATAACCCTTCTGTTTTCTTCTTCTTAACAAAGAATACACTTCTATAACTATGGATGAAGCTGTGTAAAAGTCAGGAGGTTTGTAACTACGCATGTCCTTCAGTACTGAGAAAAAGAAAAAAAAAAAAAAAAGGTAAACCCAGAAAGAGAGGGGAACTTTCGAGATCGCGGGGATGGGCTGCGTGGTTTCCGGGGTGACGACCCTGCTAGCTGGTTTCGGGAGGAGAGTGACGGGTCTAAGTCCGAAGGCCGTAGCTGGCGTAGATCAGACGCTCTTGCTTGGCTCGTGTGGAACCCCGGCGGCAGAGGAAATACATCCTGGTCTGCCTCGTGTGAGTGAGACGGGGCAATGAGCAATAGAAAGGCTTCCAAGTAGCACAAATTCTAAACCAGAGGTGAGCGTGGACGGCAGATGCTGTAACCGGCCCACAGACGTGTCCCCTCTGAGGGCTCGAATTGCCAGTGTTAAGAAAGCTTTGCCTTGAGATTCGGTGCCCTCGTGTGGAGGAGGCCCGGCCAGGTGCCAGGGCAGCCCTGCCAGCCTCCCACTAGCCTGCGCCCTCGGCCTGGTTAGCAGGCAGCTAAAAGGCGGGGGATGGAGCTTCGTTGGTGCCTGAGGCTGTCCCTGCTCAGCTCGTCCACCAGGGGGCGCCCTGACCACCCCTTTGGGGGCTAACCGTCCAGAGGGTCCCGGAGCACAGGGCTGCTGCTGGAGCAGGCTGGGCTCCTGCCGTCAGAGGTCAGAGGACCAGCCCGCTCCCCACACGGAAGGGGAAGGGAGGCAGGCAAGTGCCGGGCGGCTGCGCTCTGAGGGCCACGCTCCGTCCACTCTTGCTGGTGTGTGGATGGGACCTAGAAAGGAACAGAGGCGTGTGAGTGTGTGCGTGTGTGTGTGAGAGGGCATGTGTGTGTGTGAGTGCGTGTGTGCGTGTGTCAGTGTGTGTGCATGTGTCAGTGTGTGTGAGTGCGTGTGAGTGTGTCGGTGTGTGTGAGTGTGCCAGTGTGTGCATGTGTGTGTGTGAGAGAGTGCGTGTGTGTGAGAGAGTGCGTGTGTGTGCGTGTGTGCGAGAGTGTGTGCGTGTGTGCATGTGTGTGAGAGTGTGTGCGTGCGTGTGTGTGCGTGTGTGTGCGTGTGTGTGAGTGTGTGCGCACGAGTGTGCGAGTGTCTATGTGAGTGTTGAGTGAGTGTGTGTGTGTGTGTTGAGAGACTGTGGGGGGAGTGTGTGAGTGTGTGCGAGTGTGTGAGTGTGTGTGAGAGTGTGTGTTTGTGTTGAGAGAGTGTGTTTGTGTGGGAGAGTGTGCGAGTGTTTGAGAGTGTGTGTGAGTGTGTGTGTTGAGTGTGTGAGAGTGTGTGTGAGTGTGTGAGAGTGTGTGTGAGAGTGTGTGAGAGTGTGTGTGAGAGTGTGTGAGTGTGTGTGATTATATCTACATATCAACACCTCTCTCTCTCTCTCTCTCCATCTACTTGCTGATCTACTTGCTGTCTGCCGGGTGTGGAGATGACAGTGCCCAGTGGCAGTGGCCACGCTGCAGGCCCGGCCCTCACACATGCACACGCTTGCACCAAGTATCTCAGCCCAGAGCCCGGCTCACGCGTGCTCTCTGCAAGGACGGAGAACTTGACCACCCGCCTCCCGGACTGGTGGCCAGGCTCCTTCGGGGCCTCACTTACCACAGACCTGGGATAGCACAGTTAGTCGCATCCGCACCCGGGTGGGCAGAAGGGGCTGCGGGGAGTCACCGAGCATGCTCTGCCCGCATCGCAAGTGAGCTTGAGACACCAGGAAACTGCAGGTTCCCGCAAGGCTAGAGGCTGGGTGAGCTCTCACCCCAGTCGTGGTCACGCGCTCCCATTGGCTGCCGCTGGAATGCACAGACCAATGGCCAGCAAGGAGAACGGGGCTGCCGCACTGGATTGGGCCCTCAGTGTCTCCCAGGGAACCCGGGTGCTGAGGAAACCCACCTGCATCCGCGGAGTCTGGCTCCCATGTGGGGGGCACAGAGCGCAGCCAGTGAGCTCGGCGGCAGCCCCCCTCCCTGCTGGGGTTCATGGACAGCAAACTGGTTTGGAGGCGTACCGTCTGGGCACCCCTGAAGTATTTAGAGCAATGGCCAGCTCTCCACACACCCTGACCATGCAAACAGGCTGACATTTTTATTTATTTATTTTTTTATCCTCACCCGAGGACATTTTCCATTTTTTGTTCAGATAGAGCAGGAGGGAGAGAGAGAGAAACATCGATGTGAAAGGGACACATCGAGTGGCTGCCTCCCGCACAACCAACCAGGGCTGGGGACAAACTGCAACCGAGGTACGTGCCCTGAGCGGGAACCGAACCCGGGTCTCTCTGTACCACAGGCCGATGCTCTAACCGCTGAGCCAAACTGGCCAGGGCCCGACATTTAAAATACACATTCACATCTCGATTTCTGCCTCTTCACCAAAGTCAGATGTGGCGACACCGGTTTTCCTCCTGAGAAACAGCAGGGAGGTGGCGGCGGCGGCTGCTCCGTGCAGGGGCACCGGCCCTCCTGGGTCCTGCCCACACCCGGCCTCACCTCCCTCTCTCACACGCACCCCGCAGTCGCCCCTGCGGGCCTGTCGGCTGGGGTTCCCCACTCCAGTCAAACCGCACACCAAGTCACTCAAGCCCTCGTTTAAAACAACAACGACGACAAATCAGGAAGATGTCAAGACTCTGTTGTCACATCCGCTTGGACGCACAGGTTTCTCCTTTCCGTGCTCCCAGGACGGACGGGGCCGTCCGGGTGTCCGTGAGCGTGCACACTGCCCTGGGGGAGCGCCCCCCGCTTGGCGGTGCCAGACCGCCCGAGTGGCGGCGGGTCCCTTGCAGCCTGCGCACCCTGAGGTCTGTGAGAGCACCACCAGCTTGCTTCTGCGTGTGCCCGGAGCACCTCCAGGACCCCGGCCGCCCTGGCGCACACAGGGGCGCGTGCTGCCCGCAGCGAGGAGGCGCAGACACAACAGCCGGAGCTGGAGTGGCAGCTCGTCGGCGCGGGCGGCGGAGGCTGCTGGAGAGGCTGCTCGTGGCCACTTCAGCATTCAGGGCGCTGGCAGCCCTCCAGGTCTCGGCAGGCGGCCTGCGGGGACACGGTGACTCGGGCTTCCTGCCCGGAGCTGGGGATTACTGAGCTTCCGAGGGCGGCGGCCCCGCCTCTCGGGCACGCGGGCTGGGCGGCCAGCAGACGGAAGGGCCGGGCCACCTCGCCCAGCTCCCGGCCCGGTCTGCGACCACTGGGTAAGACGGGGCCAGTGCTGGAGACTCCCATGGTCAGTGAGACTGTTGCTAAGTGTCTGTCTGTCTATCTGTCTTTCCAGAACAAGCTCGGACCAGGAGAACAGTGATGAGCCTTTGTGCTCCTAATCTGGGCTATTTTAACCCTCATCCTGGCGGGTAGCTGGCCTCGCACGTGTCTGTCTTACAGGACTGTAGAGAGCTGCTCAGAACAGAAGACACACAAACGGGTCACCCCGCTGTGTTCCGGGACCAGAACAGGGGCCCCTGCAGGGAGGGGTGGGAGGGGCAGAAGGACCCGCGCCTGACGGATCAGAATGGAGCACCCCAGTGTGTACCCGCCCCTGGAGAGGGCCCCCCGACCTGCCCTGAAGGAGATCTGCTTGGTGCCTGCGGTCATTCTGTCCCCAGGAAACCAGTGGACAGACGAGGAAGGGGCCGGTCCCGGGGTGTGTCAGTGTGGGGCCAGGGATGCAGGTGCTGCTGGGATGCCAACCCAGGGGTCCCGGCACCTTCACACCCTTGACCTCGAGCTGTAACCCTGCCCCCCTGAGAGCTCAGACCCCGAGATGCCGTGCCGCCCACACTGGGCGTCCTGACGCGGAGACAGTATCAGAGACACGTGCTCCAGGGATACAGGTGGGTCCTACCTGGAGACACGCGTGTTTCCCTTGAACCTCACCCACCCTGGGAGGTCTGGGCCCGTGAGAAAACAGTGACCTGTCCCCTCCAGACGTCCTCGCTCAGGATGTGACCTCGACGTCCCCGCTTAACCAGGCAGATGAGAAGCGGAAATCTGGGAGGGAAGTCACGTTCCCCAGCGTCGTCCACGAACTGTCTTTGGGGTCCTGGTTACGGGAGGACAGCCTTGCACCCGGTGTACGATCAGGTCGGCGTCAGTAAGCGGAGTTGGCAGCGCGCAGAGTGGGAGTCCACCTGGCCCTGGCTGGGCAGCTCACCAGGCTCCGAGCGTGACGGGGCGGCCCCACTCACCCACGCGGCTCTGCCCTGCTCAGGGGCCGGGAGGAAAACGTCCCTTTGCGAAGCACGCGTGAGGCCCTCCGGAAGCATCCCTCCCTGCTGAGGGCGCCATCTCATTTTTTATAGTCAGTGTTCACTTTGGCTAAAATAATCCACAGTGAACCGCACGCTGGACCCACCGCCCCAGAACCCGTGGCTGGAGGTCTCTGTGGAAATGAAGCGGCCTCGTCTCGAGGGTGGGCAGTGCTAAGGCAGGCTGGTCACCAAGGTCAAGCGTGAAGGGAGACGCACAGGGCTGTCCAGGCCCCTCTCCAACAGACCGGGGAGCAGATGCCCTTCCTCCAGCCCCTGACCTCCTGGGCCCCCGGGGAAGAGCCAGGACACCCCACTGCAGCTGCCCTGTGTCTCTGAAGGCCTGGCTTCACCTCCTGACCTCAGTGCCAAGAAAAGGCCCACACATATGGCCCAGCCTCGGGGGGGCTGCTCTCAGGGCAGGTTTGTGGTGTTTGAGCTGTACCTGGGGCTGAGAACCCAGTATCTGCTGCACAGAGACAGACAGACAGAGAGACAGAGAGCAGGAAAACAATGTATAAGATTCACGGCCCCGAGGCCTTAGACCGCAGAGCCTGAACCCCACGCCATGGCGCCTGTTCTGAGATGGCCCAGCGAGGGGAGAGACCGTGCCCGTGACCACGGCACCTGCCGGTTCGCAGCCGGGTCACAGGTCAGAACATCAGCAGGTGCACCCATGCCGCTGCGGGGACGGCACCCTGAGTGTTCCCGGGGCCCTGAGTGACGGATTCGGATTCTTGTCTCTTTACCGCTGAGAGAGTCAAAGGCTGTAGGGACGGGCTCGCTTGAGGCTGCCGGGGACGGGAGTGTTTTCTGGCCAGGTGGTCTGGGGCCACATCACTGAGTAGGACAGGCGGCTTGCGTGTGGAGCGTGCATCCACTGCCGTGAGTCCGTTGACTTTGGACACGGCTGGAGACAATTCCATGCATTTCCTAAAATGACGGGCCTGACCCTGCGCATTTCTGGGCAGGCCGGATGGGGCAGGGAGGGCTCTCGGTGACACTTGTCCTTTGCCTGTGCTGAACATTCTGGGACCATTCCAGAAGCCCCTAGGACTGTTCTGGAACCGTTCTGGGACCGTCCTGGGATCGTTGTTGCAAGTTGCTTTGCTTCCTCTCACTTCTGAGAGCATGTTACGTTTGGCGACTTCTAAAACTGTTTGGAACAAAGCTCTATTATAGTATCTTTTTAAAAACTTTGAAAATACGTTTTATACCTTAGTCCAGACCCAGGTCGCAGTTTGAACACGCCACCCTGTCTGTGCCAGGCGACCGTTCTCAAACAGCAGGCGATGTAGGCACATGATTAACAGGGCGGAATGATTTCACTGGCGGCCAAGCGGAGGGGGCTGAGGCTGTGGACAGAGGCCACAGGACGACACAGAAATTGAGATGGAAACCCTGAGACTCCCACTCTCGTTGCATACGGGGAGGGGCTTCTCACCCCCAGGGAACTTTCTGAGGTGTCACTCACCAGCCCTGCAAGAGCCTCTTCAGCACATGACTGGGGTCCTGCATCTGTCTTCTCCCGCCTCTTGGACCCATTCCCCTCCCCTTGGCTGCTGGGATGCCCCCACCTTGAATCAGGCTCCTGTGCACCTGCCGGTGCACCGTCCTCCCCCCGGCTCCGCGTCACCTCCTCCTACCATGTTCCCCTCTTCCTGTGTGGGGCATACGTTATAACCATTTGGGGTACGTTTTGTGTTTACAAGTCACTTCTTCAGCCTGAAACTGCTCTGATACCGTTTTCTGCACTATTTCTGGAAGTAGTATTTCCACCGTGCACTCTTCAGGAAAAGGTCATATTGAACTTTGTCGAGGACATTCTTTGGCGACTTCCTGTGACCTAGGGGACTCCGAAGAGCATGGAAGGAATGTGGAGCCTGCTTTCTGAGCGCAGGACCTGACCGTGAGCCGTGCGCTGGGCAGAGGGGCCGCCGCCTTTGAAACGAGACGGGAAGGTCTGAGCAGGAGGAAATGGAAAAGCACAGGGCTTCCCCGCCTCTTCCTCCTGTGCTCCGCCCGCGGCAGGGGTCCCCGCTCCGGGGTCCCTTTCCCTAGGCATTCAGGCACCTGTCCTCTGGCTCCTGTGTGGCCGCCCTCGCTCCACTGGGTGAGCCCCTTGCCTGCCCCTGCCCAGCTCAAGCTCCCTGGCCCCAGGCGCCCAGAGGGTCCTCCCTGAACACCTGGCGGTGGGCTCCAGGATGGCGTCCCCCAGCCCGAGGAAAGGTGACCTATGAGAAATGAAGGACTCACCTGGGCCAGAGGGGCCCTGGTCATCACTCCCTGTGCTGTGCGCTTAAATGGCTTTAAGGGTGCCCACTGGAGAGAGACCCTCCACTCCGAGGGCTGAAGGTTTGCCGCTGGCTTCTTTGAGAGCAGTGACTCCCGGCTTCTGTTCTTCGCTCCAGACACTGAAGGGGATCAAGCCCGGGCAAGCATTCTGGGTGTCAAAGCTGGACAGAAAGGGGGCGCGGGCAGGGCGGGCTTGGAACCTCTGCACCGCGGATTTATTCTGAGTTCCGGGGGTGGTGCCCAGAAAACCTGGCTGCAGGGGGCGCTAATGTCCCAGGCCTGGGAACTGTCCTACTTCCCAGGGGAGGGGTAACTGCTGGGGGAGGGGCATAGCAGGGCTGGTACCTGCTGGGGGAGGGGCATAGCAGGGCTGGTACCTGCTGGGGGAGGGGCATAGCAGGGCTGATACCTGCTGGGGGAGGGGCATAGCAGGGCTGGTACCTGCTGGGGGAGGGGCATAGCAGGGCTGGTACCTGCTGGGGGAGGGGCATAGCAGGGCTGGTACCTGCTGGGGGAGGGCATAGCAGGGCTGATACCTGTTGGGGGAGGGGCATAGCAGGGCTGGCTGGCACTGGACCCACCGCTGCTCCTCCCTTGTGCAGCCCCAGGTCCCCTCCCGTCTGCTAGCACCTCCCCTGACCAGCCACCCTGGTCCCCCTGTGCAAACACACCTAAAGGTGGCATCACTGTCTGCTAAGGGTTGTCTGTCCTCTTGCACTTGTCTGTCCCTCCTGCACTGTGAGTCACCAGAGAGCTGAGGCTCTGGGTCGGAGATCTGTATCCCCAGTTCTGTCACGGGGCCTCCTCTGCTGACACCCCCTGGAAGTAGAGGCAGCCAGGGCCCCGGCACTGTGGACTGGAATCCTGTTCCATCCTCGGCACGGTCCTCCTCCCAGACGAAACTGTGACAAAGAGCCAGACACCTGCCCCAGGCAGCCACCCGCTGCCCTGCGGGACCTGAGTCCAGTCCTCGCGACCTGCAACCTCGCTGCCCGCTCACACTGCGGGAAGAAGTGTCCCTCCCACTGACCTACGTGTTCGATCCCAGTGATGGGGGCGGGGGGAACGGGCCGCTCAGCCGTCCGGGCGGCCGTCACAGGGGGTGCCCTGCGCAGCTGGCCGAGCCCACCGGCTGCCATCTGGGGGCCGAGCCAGGCTGCGTGGCCAAGTGGCCGGCCACCGTCCGCGAGCTGCGGCAGCGCGCCAGCCAACACTGTCAGAAGGTTCAGCGGTATTAGCTCGTGGCCATGTTTTCCCGTGTCTGCCCCCTAACTGCGAGTCTTGTAACAAAGGCCAGGAAGGAAGCAGGGAGGAAGAGGTCACTGTGGGGACACTGCCTTGTGCATTCGGGCCTCTCCCGACGCCCTTCTGTGTGTCCGCGTCTTTCCCCGGGAGCTTCTGGGAAATGTCTCTTCTTTTCTTATGCTGTTGTCTGGGGTCTCAACTACACCAGTGCCAGCAGGAACTGTCTCCGGGGCCCTTCTTCTGTTAATCCCCTGCTGTCCAGGTGAAATGACGCCGCTGTTGAGGGCGGTGGCGATGTCCCGGCCTCTCGTCACCTGCTTCTCGAGGGCACGAGCGCGGAGTGCCCGCGGCCTGCGGTGGCCTCCACTCACTGACTGGAGGAAGGATGTCCCAGCAGAGGACACCGGCACACAGCCCAGCCCCGCGTCCTGGGCTGCCCTACAGTGCTCGCCCGGAGCGTGTGTCTTGAGGTGCTGAAGCTTAAAGTTTTTCTCCACCAAGAGAAAAGGAACAACTCAGGTGGCGAGCTGGCCAGGTGCCGTGCGTGTCCCTGTCCTTCGACTCCAGCCTCAGTCAGAGGTTTTCTCTCCCCACAAAGGTCTGACAGAACCCGGAGGCTCAGTAGAAAGGGAGTACTGGCCTCACTACTCCACCTATTTCCAAAGCGCTGGTGGGTGGCCGGGGGCCGCCGTGCCCCCCGCATGGGTGTCCCCGGGGCGAGGAACCAGGACGCTAAGGAGCTGCAGCTCAGCGCTCACTCCGAGCTCAGGAGCCAGGACCTCGGCCCAGGACACCGCTGTCCTGATCTGTCTTAATTTGGCCTGAAGGTTCTCTTCCAAGATCCTCTTATTGGGACCAGAACTTACTGTCTCACATGTAAATTGAAGGGACAGCCAGAGGCTGATGAACACAGGATCATGACTATTTTAGGCCAAATTTCAATTGTCCCTGTCACAAGTTTTCCAACAGTATTATCTATTTCTAAATATGTTAAGATTTTTTTTAAAAAAATCCTGCTTTTTTAAAAAAAAAAGAACTCGTTTTAAAAGAGCATCGGTTACACAGCGGCCGGCCGGGAAACAATCCTCCCGCGTGTCATCCGTCTGACTGTCCACGTGCGCCCACGGGCTCATACGGGGCCAGAATCCAAAACGCTGATTCCAAATGTGCTTTTTTGAGGGGAATTTGCTGTCAGCCCCACAGATGCCTGTGACTCCCCCAAGCTGACATGTTTCTGGCAGAAGCTGTGTATTTGAAATCCTTAACCCTCGCACCCCAACTTTCGAGGTTCTGATGAGTCGGGCAGGTTGGGGGGCACATGCTGGGTGGCGCAGGAACTGAGTTGCTGGCTGACATGTCCTTGCCGTGTCTCGTGCAGTGAGCCTGCCCCTGGGGCCCAGCAGTCCCTGCAGTGCCGACGGGGTCCCCCCGGTGCCCCTGGAGGCCGAGGAGACCGTGTCTGTTGGCAGCTGCTTTGCGTCCGAGGACACGACCGAGGACTCTGGAGTGATGAGCTCCCCCTCAGACATCATCTCTCTGGATTCCCAGCATGACAGCACGAAATCCAGAGACAAGTGGGCCACCGACCAGGAGGACAGCAGCGACCAGGACCTGGTGGGAACCCCAGAGCTGGGTCCCCCGAAGAGCCCTGCGTGGGAGAGAAACGGCTCTGGACACTGGCATTGCAGGTGAGTGACAGGGAAGGGAGGGCCGATGGCCCATCCTGTCGGCAGGGTGACCCAGCAGAGACTCCTCCGGAGTCCACTACTGGCCAGCCCCCCCCCCCCGCGAGTCCCCGCTCCTGACCTGGGGGTTCGCTCTCCATGACCACATGCGCATGCTCCTTCTAGTTATGCAACCAGACAGGGTGATGTCTGGTTTGTTTGCACCCTTCCTTAGAAGCTTCGTGCCCATCATGTGACCCCCACCAGCACCCGTTGCAGGTTTACCCATGACGATGCCTGTGTCGTTAGTGCGTTTACTCCCTGCACGTCTAACAAACGGACCCTCTGGCGGTGGGGCTGGGCCGTGCTGTTCCCCCCAGGAGAGGGGAGAGGTGACGGCACTTCCCTCTTAGTCACTTCACGTAAAGAAAGACCACCGTCCACGCACTCTCCAGGCTCCTCCTGCGAGTTTGCTTGGGGGCTGCCCACGCCAAGCTCCACACCTGAAACCGAGCAGGCGTGTCAGTCCGAGCCCTGGGGACGCTCTACGTGCAGAGCGCTTTGTGTGGCCCTGACGGACAACCTTGCTGACTTCTGTCCCAGCCGGGACGATGGAGTATTGGCAGCTGCTGCTGCATCCGGACAGGGAGTGGCGTGTGGTTTTCTCCCTCGTCTCTGGTCCTGGTGCCACTGAATTTGATGGCATGGGGGCAGGCGGGGGGCTCTGCACCCTGACTGGCCCATTGTGGACTCCCTTCACCACCAACGGGCTGCCTGCGGAGCCCCCACCTTTGCTGAGCCTTGCGCTTGGCTTGTGTGGGCACAGAGATGCCTCCCACCCACCGGCGGTGTGGCGGGTCTGTGGGCCCCGTGCACGCAGCAGGCGCCCAGCTCTCAAGCGGGGTCTGTCGCGATCTCTCTGCCGTTGGCCAGGACATGGGGCGCCGTGAATACCCAGGCAGGCCCTTCCCTCTCTGGTCAGCCCAGCTGCCGGCATGCAGCCCGGTCCGTGCTGCCCACTCTCTGCCCCAGACTTGGGGTTGACTCTCTGCCACCAACCCCATGGCATGGCCATAGAGGGTCACAGGCGTTTCTCCACTGACACACTGTCCATGAAGAGGGGGGCCAGGTGATCTCCCCGAAAGAGATGCCCTCTTCCTCCTTCCAGCTGTTGCCCTGAGGCCTTACGCACCCAGTGGGGCCTTTTTCTGAGAAGCCAGAAATCTAGACTGTTATGTAGGGTCTTCCAAATCTTAAACGTGGGCAACCAGTTCAGACATTCAGAGCCCAACTCAACTGTGTGCCTGTGGAGCATGGCCTGTTTGGGGGTGCCCTCCTCGGAGGGGGGATGACAGGGTGCTGGGCGCTTCCTCTGTCCCCTGATTTTCCCGCTGTGTGTGTGTGGCCGCCTGGCTCAGGTGCCCCCTGTGGTGGAGCTCTGGAAACACCTCCTCACAAGTGAATTGGGGGTCAGCACCTCTTCCTCTCAGCGAAGTACCTGCGTCTTGCCTCTCGGGCTCATCAGAACGATGCCCATCAAGCGCCGTCCGGGGGATGCTGTGTCGTCAGCCTTCACTGTCGCTGTAAAACAGGACAGTGCACGTTCGTCATGGAGAAGAGGGGACACCCCTCTCCGTGGGCTTGGTGCATTCCAGAGCATGTCCGTGGTCCTGTCCACAGCATACGGTGTGAAGCCTGGGGGGCCAGGTCAGGGCTGGGCCAGACTGCGGGAGCTGTCCAGGCCTGGGTCCGAGCCGTCTGCTACTGGTCCCAGCTCTCCAGTACTGGGTCCGAGCTGTCCAGTACTAGGTCGCAGCTGTCCAGTACTGAGTCTGAGTGGCCAGCACTGGGTCCAAGCTGTCCACTAGTGGGTCCGAGCTGTGCAGTACTGGGTCCCAGCTGTCCACTAGTGAGTCCGAGCTGCCCAGTCCTGGGTCCAAGATGCCCAGTCCTGGGTCTCAGCTGCCCAGTCCTGGGTCCCAGCTGCCCAGTTCTGGGTCCGAGCTGTCCAGTACTAGGTCCCAGCTGTCCAGTACTAGGTCCCAGCTGTCCAGTGCTAGGTCTGAGCTCTCCAGTACTGGGTCCGAGCCATGCAGTTCTAGGCTGGAGAGCAAGTCTGCAGAGCTCAGTTGAGCCTCAGTGAAGCAGGTCAATCCCAGGTCCAGACGGGCCCGTGGTCCACTGCAGTGCTGGGGGCTTGGCAGCCCAGACCAGCTGACTGGCAGAGCAGAACCAGGGCTGCTCCCGGAGGTGTGGCCTGGCCCCGCCCCGGCCAGAAGAGCCTGCTGGACACTGCACAGGAGCCCTGTGTCCAGGAGCAGCGGGAACCAAGACGCCAGCTGGCACCTCGGTCCAGGGCAGCCATGCTGGGCGAGCAGACAGGCCAAGTGATTGCTCAGGGCTTCTCCCGAGCTCCTGCCCGGACGCTGGGCCCACACCTGGGTCCCTGCCGCAGCCCAGGGCTCTGCCATGCGCGGCCCTCGCATCCTAAAAGAGGCGTTTGTGTTCCCAGAACACGTTTTTTCTGCGTGCCAAGCGGTGGTGACCTGAGCCTGGCTATGCCTGTGGGACCGCCCACCCTCTGATGCCAGCCCCCGAGGCCCGGGCACAGCAGAGGTCACCTTCCGCATGACTGCAAGGCTGGGCCTCTCCAGGGGCAGTGGACTCTGAGTGGTCGTGAAGCTGTCCCCGACAGACTCGGACTCCTCGGCCGGCAGAGACGCCCCGTGCAGCCAGTTCCCATATACTAAGGGGTGTGCGTGGCGTCCACCGTTGCCTGAGTGCCCTTAACTCGGATCACCTCGCTGTCCCTCGGGTGTTCATTGAATACTGCGGGAAGAGTGTCAGACCCTCTGTGACCTGCGAAGACCCCAGTTTATAAAGTCTACACGGTCGGGTGCCAGTGTATTTGGGTGTTTCTCCTTTCTTTGCACCCTGCAGGTGGCAAAGTCATGTAGCCTCCCTTGGCTAGGGTGGCCTGGGGTGCCAGGTTGACAAGTTGAAGGCAAGTACTGTTGGCTCCAGAGCTCCTGCTCAGCTGAAAGCATCCTTCTTAACCTCTCCAGTCCCGGGGCGAAGTTCCCGGCCCCGTCCTGGGCAGGTGATGTAGAGCCGCTCCCTCCATCAAGGCTGAAGCTCCATCCACGGCAGTGTTGGCCTGGCTCCGTGAGGGACATCAGCTCGGCAGAAATGCCCTATGGGGTGTGTGAGGGAACTGGGCAAGGGGTTTGGGGCTCTGCTTTGGTGCAGCAGGGCCTCACTGAAATTGTGCAGAGCCACAGGAGACAGAAGGTGGAGCTGCTCCAGGTGATGGGAGCCTCCCTGAATTGTCCACTGCCCTCCCCCCTCTGCCTGGCAACCCCCAGAGTTCCTGCTCAGCCCCACTTATCAGTGAGCAGTGGTTATGATGGCTGGGGAAGCAAGAAACAGTGTTACCTGCAGGGCTTATGGATCCAAGTCATTTTATGGAACTGAGATGCACAGGTGGCTGGTGGAGGGGCTGGGTAAGGGCTAATCCTGGGTTTGCAGAGGCCACACCCACCTCTGGGGCCCTGGTATTTTGTAGCTATGGGAGCTCTGACCTGGGGAGCATTCAGAATATAACCTCCAGAACCCTAGAACTTTGTCACTATAGGAACTTACTTTAGATACATATCATACCATCCAGAGCCCTGAAACTTTGTAACTATAGGAACTGGTGACTTTAGAAACATTTTATACCCTCCACAACCCTGACACATTGTAACTATAAGAACTTTGGACCATGGGAACATTTAGGAGCATTTTAACACCTTATAAGATCCTGAAACTTTGTAACTGCATTTACAAAGAAACATTTAAACAACATTTGAGACCTGGGAGAGCTAAGCTGTTCAGGACAGTAGCCACGGGCCACATCTGGCCACGCGTACTTGCCACGTGGCCGGCTCAGCGTGAGATGTGCTGAGTGTAAACCATGCTCCCAGTCTGGCCTTAAGAAAAGTAATTTCATAGTAATTACATGTAGAAACGAAGAAAATAATTCAGGTTAAAATTGGGTTGAGTAAAATGTCCTAATTGAAATTAAATAAGGTATTAATTAAAACCCATCCCCGCTACACCTTTTTCAATGTGACTCCAGGGAGATCCACGGCCTCGCTGGTGGCTCGTCCCATCTCTCGACTTCCTAGAGCTCTGACGCTTGGCAAACACGGGAACGTTTGTTAAAGGGACAGGGTCGGGGGCATGACTGTCATCGGCTGTGCACTTTCCCAGGTTTCTTGCCTTTAGTTTATCCAGTCATTGTTTTGAAACCGGCGATTCAGTCTGGTTGTCATTTGCAAGTTATATTACCCCCTGAAAGGGACATTTTTGTTCTCTCCAACCTTCTCCTTTTGTTTTTTTCCATAATTTTGCCGTTGGGTAAAAAAACTTCCCTAGCCACATCAAACAGAAGGACCGAATATGCTGGGACGGGTCACCATTAGCCCAGGTGCCTTCTTCCTTTCGCATATAAAGGGACAAGACACCACCACAAAGCAGCGACTTGTCCTGGCGTCGTTTTGACCCAACTGCCCCTACTGCTTGTTTGCAAGGCAGGGGTGAGGCCAAAAGGCTGGCACCCCCTGCGGCACTCACCCTGTGCCCCTGCCCCCCGGGACCACCCCCAAGGCAGCTCCACTTTCTGGGCAGCCTCTGGTTTGAGACTCACCGCTGCCCTTGGTCCCTCACGCGCGGTCCTGCAGCACCCTGAAGGTCGCTGCAAAGTCACGCCCGTGGGAGAAAACGCCGCTGGTGATGTCCGTGCAACACGTGCAGCCTGGAATCAAAACGTCTGGGCTGTGTTTGTTCTTTATTTTCTTGGTCTCAGGCCAGAGCAAACAGTCAGTAAGAACCAGCTCTGAGGACTGGGGGTGTCGGGCCGGGGCGATGCCCTGGAGAGCGTCTGTGCAGCTGCTTCAGGCTGAGAAGAGGTGGCTGTCCTTGCCAGCCCTGCAGTCGGGGACGCGGACATGGACCCGGCCTCTTGCCCAGAGAGCTGCCCTCCCAGCCCCGGACAAAGCGCCTCACCGGGTTTTCTAGGGGGAGAGTTACAGGCCCTTGGGAGAAGTAAGTGGCAGGGGTGAGGAAGGCGAAGCAAATATCGATACACCTGTTTCTCCTGAGAGTTTATATTAGAAAGCAAAACGGACTTCTCCACCAGCGCTGAGCTGTGCGGGATAATCCATCCACGCAGCCGTCCGGGGAGCAGAGCTCACAGCCCCGCGAGGGGTCCCCAGACCGGAGATGGTGGGGCTCAGCGGGCTCCCAGAAACTCCGCCCTGGCTCCTTCTCTCCCCACTCCCACGTGGGGGCTCTTGCCACTTTGCAAAAGAGAATTATTGTTCATCATAGGAAAAGGAGTATTTAAAATTTTTCCCATTTAAAGAATTATTGTATCACTCAAGCTGCTTCACCCCAAAATGAACACAACTGTGAAAAAGGACAAAATACTGTAACTCATTGATTTCAGCGGGTCACACTGGTCAGAGGCTCTGTAGCTCCGTCCCCCCTTGTCTAGGTGTGTGTGTATTTTGATCACCGTGGTCATTGTCTGTAATACACAGTTGACCCTTGAACAACACACAGGCGGGTTAGGGATGCCAACGCCTGGGCAGGGGAAGATCTGAGTGTGACTTTCAACTCCCCAAACACTTAGTTGTCGCTCAGTATCCGCAGGGGTGTGTTCCAGATGTACACTCTCCCCCCAGATTCCAACATCCGAGGGCACTCAAGTTTCTTACAGAAAAAGAGCATGGACAATGCACACAGCGCCCTGCGCACCTGAGGACTTCCGTCTGCAAGTCGGAAAGACTGGTCTGGCTCCCCGGGGAGTCCACGGATACAAGACCTGGGAATACGACCGGCCGAATGCGCACGTATTGACAGAAACCAGTGTAACTGCGGGTGCTGCGTCTGTACGTGCCCCCCGGTAGGGCTGCTTCCCCGAAGGAGACCGGCACGAGGGACAGACGGACGAGCCGGCTCTGCAACGCCGGGCGCTGTCCCTTCCCGAGGCGCACGTCCTTCCAGTGCAAACCAGCAGCCGCCACCACCAGCATCTCGGACTCGCTGCGTTTCCGTCACCTCGCCGTGCTTTATTTTCTCCAGTTTAATCTTTATAAGACGATAGCATCAGCGGAATTTTTATCTCAGGTTCATGTTTAATTTTTCCCCTGTTCTCATGGAGCGAGGTGACGCACACCCCGCAGGGAAAGCACACGTCTGGTTTTGTCTGGCTGGGCTCTGAGCTTCCCAAACGAGGAACGAGCATCGACAAGGTGCTGTTTTCCCGTTTACACGGTGCGTTCATTCTTCCTCTGCCACAGACGTTACCAAATACTTGGATTCGATGTGTTTAAGCCACCCCAGACCACGATAGGCAAACGCACCACCTGACCGAGAGGCATCGCGACCATTCACGTCCGCGGCGAAAGCAGTGAACAGGCAGTCCGTGCTCCCTGAGGCCCTTACAATTGCTCCACAGGCTCGCGCATCTCCCGCGACCCTCTGTCCGGCTTGTCGGGGCATTAGCTGAGCGGAGCCTGGAAGCCATCTCCTGGTTCCCAAGAGGACGCAGTCCCCGAATAGCAAAGTCTCATTTCTCGGCTGCAAACCGCCACGTGATTGTGCAACGTGTGTTTCCTGCTTGCTCGTCTGTGCCCGATCAGCAGCGCTGGAGTTGGCCCTCGATCTCGACGTCAGCAGAGAAGACAGGTGACCCTCCCTGATAGTGACATTTGCCATTGACGTGTGGCAGGAACCTGGGGTCACATGCGCTTGTAAAGACCGTCTGTCATTTCTCTGGGAGCGGCTGTGTCATGGATCTATTGCCCCAGCAATGCAAACAGGGCAAGGTCGGCTTTCCTGAGTGGGTGGCTGATGCCCCCCGGACACCCAGGTGGCAGGGTCCACGCTGCACCCTGGACACCAGACTTGGACACCAGCCCTGGCTGGTGGCCCCCAGACTGAAGAGCCCATGTGGTCTGGGCAGGTGTGTCAGTGTCCTGACCCGATTCCTGTGTGTGAAAAGGCCGTACCCACTGCCTTACACGCTGCTGGGGGAAACAATGAGCTCATTTGTGCCAGGGCTCGGTCTCAGCCTGGCACCCAGAGGCTGCGTGGGACTCAGAGGGGTGCCGGGACTCGCGCTGGAAGGCGCCACCTCCGGTGGGGTCTGGGACGAGGCCCCTGGTGGGCCAGGGTGGGAGTGTTATCACCGCTCTGCAGTGGTGCTTCCTGCTGCATCCTTGTCCTTGTCGTCGTCGTTTCATACTTCCTGTTGAAGAGCCCCGGAAGCAGGGCTCTGTGGGTGGCCCTTGTCCCCTCCGTCACCTGCACAGGATGGGAATTAAGCCAAAGTCAAGGCCTGGACAGGAACAGATGGGGCCACATGTCACCCTGCTGGGGTGAGTGCACATGGAAGCCTGGTCACAGCTCTGCCCCAGAGCCGGTGCCCTCCACCCCGGAGGCTCCAGGGGCCAGAGGCAGCCTCCTCACGGGCCACAGGCACGGCCTGGCAGTGGGTGACAAGGTCCAGCCCCTGGCCTCTGTGCGTGTTTGCAAACAGCCTCTAGACAGCCTGGCTGCTTATTACTGGTCCAGGTAGGTGCCAGGCGTGGTGAATGCAGTCCAGGCAGGCACACAGGTCCTGTGGGCACACCAGCTTGAGTGTGCAGCGGTGGGCGGTGCCCACAAAGCCGAGACTCAGGACCGTGGTGAGCAGGAACCGGGTGTGGTTGGGGAGCTGCTGACGTTTTGGGGCCACACACACACACCTGCACCACACACACACACACCTGCACCACACACACACACCTGCACCACACACACCCCTGCACCACACACACCCCTGCACCACACACACCCCTGCACCACACACACACACCCATGCACCACACACACACCTGCACCACACACACCCCTGCACCACACACACCCCTGCACCACACACACCCCTGCACCACACGCACACCTGCACCACACGCACACCTGCACCACACGCACACCTGCACCACACGCACCCCTGCACCACACGCACACCCGCACCACACACACACCCATGCACCACACACACACCTGCACCACACACACACCTGCACCACACACACACCTGCACCACACACACACCCATGCACCACACACACACCTGCACCACACACACACCTGCACCACACATACACACCTGCACCACACACACCCCTGCACCACACACACACCCCTGCACCACACACACACACACACCCATGCACCACACACATACCTGCACCACACACACCCATGCACCACACACATACACCTGCACCACACATACACACCTGCATCACACACCCCTGCACCACACACACACACCTGCACCACACACACACACACCCATGCACCACACACATACCTGCACCACACACACACCTGCACCACACACACACACCTGCACCACACACACACACCTGCACCACACACATACACCTGCACCACACACACACACCTGCACCACACACACACACCCATGCACCACACACACACCTGCACCACACACACACCTGCACCACACACACACACCTGCACCACACACACACACCTGCACCACACACATACAACTGCACCACACATACACACCTGCACCACACACACACCTGCACCACACACACACACCTGCACCACACACACACACACCCATGCACCACACACATACCTGCACCACACACACACACCTGCACCACACACTACACACCGCACCACCACACACACACCCATGCACCACACACCTACCTGCACACACACACCACCTGCACCACACATACACACCTGCACCACACACACCTGCACCACACACACACACCTGCACCACACACACCTGCACCACACACATACCTGCACCACACACACCCCTGCACCACACACACACACCTGCACCACACACATACACCTGCACCACACACACACACCTGCACCACACACACACACCCATGCACCACACACATACCTGCACCACACACACCCCTGCACCACACACACACACCTGCACCACACACATACAACTGCACCACACATACACACCTGCACCACACACACCCCTGCACCACACACACACACCTGCACCACACACACCTCTGCACCACACACACACACCTGTACCACATATACACACACCTGCACCACACACACCCATGCACCACACACACACCTGCACCACACATACACACACCCATGCACCACACACACACACCTGCACCACACACACACCTACACCATACACACACACACCTGCACCACACACACACACACCCATGCACCACACACACACACCTGCACCACTCACCAGCTGTGTCTCAGCAGCTCCAAGGACCAGAGGGGTCCAGGGAGTATGAATGGCAGGAACCTGAACGGGAGTTGTACCTCCCTGGGATGTGTCCAGAAAGGAGCGAATTCGGTGAGTATTGAGGGACACGGATGCTGTTCTTTCTCCTCGGGCTCCCCTAGAGCTGAGGAAGCTGCCACCCCCGCAGACGACGACGGCGGCCTCGCTGCCCGGCAGTTGGAGCACACCCTGGCGGACCTGGACGGGGATCTGGACGGTGAGCTCGGCCCCGCCCCGCCCGGGGGCGTGGTCTGTGTGGCGTGACCCCGGGCTGCCCTGCTGGCCACAGTCTGTGACGGCCCCTCGAGCGGAAGCTGCGGGAGGACGGGCAGCCTGGTTGGCAGACAGCCTGTGTGAGGGCCGAGCGCCGCAACCACCCTCTCCGGGGCGGCCGGACAGCGGCCAGGCACCTGCTCGAATGAGACCCCGTTTGCGCGTGGAAAGCAGTCCACACATATTGAGAAAAAAGCTTCTCCAAGACCCGAGTGAGTTAAGGAGTCACGGGCGACCAAGGTGCCCAGGTTTCTTTAAGACCCCAGCCCTTTACTCGCTAATGACCCGGCGTCCATGTCACCGTGGCCCTGTCACCGTGGCCCTGTCACCGTGGGGAGGAGGCTGCCAGGCCAACACTGAGGCAAAGAATCTCAGCAAACAGCCAGGGTGTCCCAGAAACAAAGGCACAGGGTGAAAATAAACCCTGTGGGCCGCACCTTAGAACGGAGCCAGGGGGAGCGGATCCGTTCCGTCCAACTCGCTTGTCGGCTTGTGCCCTCGAGAGGCGTTGGCAGAGCCGGTTCTCGAATCCGCCGTCTGGGCCTGAGCTTGGCCACGTGGCACCCAGCATCCACTGGGGCACATTCTGCAGTGTCCACACCCAGTCGTCCACCTCGTGAGAAGGGGACACCAGGGCAGGGCGCCCGCAGGTTCCGGGGCGCTTCGGAGAGCCAGAGCCGAAGGGCGGGGAGCACCCACCGTCACACTCGGGGCGAGACCGGGTTCCAGAGGGCTCGGGGTGAGAGATCCATCTGTAAGTGAAGGAGGTCAGCAAAATGTACCTAAATGCCTCCTCTTGAGACCCCGTGGGGCTGGCCACCTGTTGACTCCTGAGAGCTGTGACTGGCCCCAGGCAAAGGTAGATGAGAAGCTGAAATGACACTGAAATACATGCAAATACCTTACAGGAAAGGAAGGGGCGGGGCGGGCGGGGCGGCCAGTCCCGTGATGGCCGCAGGGCAGGTGTTGGGCGAGGGCCAGGCTGTGACGCCTGTGTGCTTCTCTGCAGACCTGGAAGACAGCTATGAAACCGACTCCAGCTCTCTCACCGGCTCCGTCAACGGCGTGTCCCACCGCTGCCTGCAGGGCGCCATGGTCCCCCAGAGTGACGCCGATGCCATCCCAGTGACGTTTATCGGGGAAGTTCTAGATGATCCTGTGGAGTCGGGGTCTTTTGACCTGGGGGGTGCAGGCAGCAGGCCGGCCCACCCGCCGCAGGCGCAGGTGCAGGCACAGGTGCAGGCGCAGGTGCAGGCGGAGCCCTGGCGGCAGCAGGGACAGGAGTGGGCGGACCCCGCCTGGGCGCCTGCCCGCGACAGGGGGGAAGTGAGGTCAGCCCTGCCCGGCCCCTGGACAGATGTGGATCCCGTCCGAATGGAGCCCAAGGTCACTGCTGAGCTGCGCGGGCAGGACGGGATCGCACAGGAGAAGAGGAAGGAGCAGGGCTCTGGGCCCCGCGCGAGGACACACCCCCCTGAGGCCCGGGACCCTCCCCCAGCGAAGGACAGAGAAGGCGGCGATAAGAAGGATGTCTCAGTACCTCCCTCGTGGTATCAGCGAGGCCAGAACCCAGGGGGCAGTTTCGGACTTAAATATGGCCTCACGACCTATAAAATTGTCCCCCCTAAGTCAGAGATGAGGTGTTACGACCGAGGAGTGTCGCTCTCCACGGGCGCCATTAAGATCGACGAGCTGGGGAACCTGGTGAACCCCCACGCGAGCGGGGGCCGCACCGTGGCGCTGCCGTCACCTGCTCTCGAGAGAGACGCCCAGCCCCCCGGAGAAGTCTGGGGGTTCTGGGGGGCCGACTCCAGGGAGAAACACGCGGGCCGGCCCACGGAGTGCTCGGCCAGGGGGCCCCCCACCCGCACCCCCACGGCGCCCGCCACGTCCCAACAGCAGGGCGGCAGACTCGGAGCAGAGCCCGGCTCCCCAGAGCCCGCAGCGACATCGCCCTCGCAGCCGGCCCCCCACCCGGAAGGGAGACCCCCGGAGGGGGCGCCCAGCCAGCCACGGGCAGCAGCCTCGTGCCACACGGAAGTGCCAGCAGCTCGCACGGCCCACGTGCTGTTCCTCAGGCCTCAGAAGAGAACCTCCAGTCAGTACGTGGCCTCGGCCATTGCCAAGCGGATGGGGCCCCCGCGAGCCCGCGCGGACGCAGCCCCGAAGCAGGACGGGGCGGGGAAGACCAGGGAGGGCGGGGGGCCAGAGCTCAGGGCACCCCGCCCCACGCCGGAGGACGCCCCCCGCAGCCTGGGCCCCGAGCCGCACATGCGCAAAGGGGAGGCAACGCCACCCTGCGGCCAGCCCCCCAACTCCAAGCGGGAAGACTCCGCAGGAGGAGCCCAGCCCAGGGCGCACGTCAGCAGCCCTCTCAGGGGGCTGGCTGCTCAGGACCCCCCTGCTGGCGCCCACAGAGGCCCCGACATCCCGCCCGGCACTGCGCGGAGGGATCAGGATCCCGGGGGCCCCAGCCGTGCCCTGGGTGGGAAGCACAGCACGGCTGACCACAGGGCCGGCTCGGCAGGGAACCCTGGACGCGCGCTGGACAGCACGAGCGGGCCCCTGCGCTCCGGAGATGACGGGGCCCCTGGCAGGTCCCTGGTGAACGGCTCCAGGTGGGCCCCCGCCCACAGGGAGCCTCCTCCCTCCCCCAGAGCGTCCGGCGGCAGCAGCCACGCCGCCCTGGCACAGGAGGGGAGGCCCCCTGTGGCCTGCACGGATACGCCGGACGCCGACGGCTCGCTGCCACCCAGCATCTTCGGGCCAAAGAAAAAGTTCAGACCTGTGGTCCAGAGGCCAGCGCCCAGAGACACCTCCCTGCACAGCGCGCTGATGGAGGCCATCCACTCGGCAGGAGGCAAGGACAGGCTGCGGAAGGTGAACCTTGGCCCCTGCCCCGAGGGCGCGGCCCTCCTCCCACACCTGCAGCGCAGGGGCCCGCTCGAGGGGAAGGGCACCGAGGAGGGACCACGTGGGTAGTGAGACCCAGATCTCTGTCTCACTGCGCACGGAGTGTCTGAACAAAGCCGCTAGAGACAGGAAATGGGGCTTGTCCACGCGGCTCTCAGGCCCTGACCCCGGGGGAAGATGCTACCAGTGTGTCTGGAGCGTGGGCGGTGGGCTGTCCTCATTGCTGGTGAGACTGTGGAGGGAGTTCATGCAGCCAGGCCAGGGCCTCCCGCCTGAAACTCTCCGACAACAGTAGGAACTCACGACAGCCCCCCCCCTCCAGTCATTGCTGCGCCATGTAAAATAGTCCCTCCAGAATCGGGGGTGGGGCGCAGGGCGGAGGGGTGCCACTCTCCACCCTCACTGTTGAGATTGACGAGCTAGGGAAGCTGGTGAGCTACTTCCTCTGGGTTTTAGATGGGGAAACTGAGGCATGGTGCGGTCCAGTGACCTGGCCCAAGGTCATGCTGCCCACTCATAGAGACCCAGGACTCCCGTCAGGGTCTGCAGCTTGGAAAGCCAGAGCCAGTCACAGCGGCCCGGCGTAAGAGGCCATCCTCCGACGCGCCCCCAGCAGGTGGTGATCACAGTACCAGGTCCTTGCTGCCGGCGGTGCCTAGGATGCCCGGGGAAACCGGCCTCTGGCGGGCCCAGGGCCTCAGACGCCTCCCAGCCACCGTTTCTCCACCGTCAGCGACCCGTGTTGATTTCATGTTCTAGACGGCGGAGCCCAGCCCAGAAGGAGGCCCCAAAAAGCTGTCCTACGCGGAGTCGGAGAGCGAGCACTCGGCCCTGCTGGCGGCCATCCGGGGGCACCGCGGGGCCTGCGGCCTGCGGAAGGTGAGGCAGCAGCCTGCCCGGCGCACCCCACGGGGCGTGGCTGCGAAACTCCGGCCAAACTGGCTCTTCAGGGCTCATGGTGACCAACCGCCCAGACTGGCATGGAGGCGCGGTCCCTGGGCAGGCGGCAGCGCCCTGGAAGTCTCCCTCCCTGTTCCCCCTGCCCGCCTGGCACTGAGCATTTTCCAAGTCCCTGGAGGGGGCCCAGCATGGCTTCAGGGCATAGATCACCCCAGGGCAGCACTGGGCGGCCTCAGGAGCCAACGTGGACTGGCGTTTAGAGGCAAGTGGGTGGTCTCCGGCTCCCACGGCCCGGATCCCAGGAGCAGCCTGCTGGGTGCAGGACGCTCCGAGCACGAGCTGTGGGCCCTGCCGGCAGTCGGTCAGGTCGGTGCGCATGTGCGGCTTTGGGCCTGTCCTGCACCCAGACACGCAGCACAGCAGGAGGTCCCGGGGACAGGGCTGCCACCTGCTCTCTCCTTCAGCCACTGTCCCCGGGGGTCTCGGGACAGGAAGCAGACACACCTCCTGGCTGGGTGCAGGGGAAGATACCCGGCCATTCGCTGCCCTCAGAAAGAGCCCTTGGGACATTGTCATCTAACCATCTCTTCCCCAGGTGACATCCTGTGCTTCTGAGGAGCTCCGGAGCTTCCGGGAGGCCGAGAGGTCCGCACACGGGTCGGAACCCTCCGGACCGGGAGACCTTGGCAGCCCGCCCTCCCTGCCGCCCCCACCGCCACCCGCTGCCCCAGCCCTGTCAGCATCCAGGTCCAGCTCCGGCCCCCTCGGGGACCCGGTGGACGCCAGACAGGCCTTGATGGACGCCATCCGCTCTGGCACAGGGGCTGCCAGGTTGAGGAAGGTGCTGAGGGGCTGTGGGGTCGAGAGGGGCGGGGAGAAATGTCTCCACAGCAGGCAGGAGCCACAGGCCCTGAGACACAGTGGAGGAGGGCAGGAGGGCTGGCCGAGCTGCGTCCGGCGCCACACTGGCCAGCGGGGCCATGCACGCCCTCCCCGGGTGAGACAGTCAGCCAGACTAGCTCCTGGGGACGCAGGAGGGCACGTCACACCACTGGACCCTGAGCACATCCCACCACCCACCTGCTGGTCCAGGGCCAAGCTGCAGAACCCAAGATGTCTCCTGTCGGGCACGGGCCACCGCCGTGGTCCTCGGCCTGGGTGGAGGCTGCAGCAGGGTGTCTGTCCATCTCTCTTTTCTAGACAGTTCGCTTGGTCTGGTGCTGGTCTGCTCGCGGCCTGGTCCCTGAAAGCCAGCAGGAGCCTCTGTGGCCTGCGGCAGGGTCCCAAAGCAGGACAGGCAGGCCCGTGGCCGCTGGGCCCTGTTTCAATTCAGAATGAGTCCCGCCGGGCGGACCCTCATCCACACCCACTTCCAGTCAGTGTGTTGGGCAGTCACGTAGCAAGGACAGGTCTCCTCAGCGCCGACGTCTGCACCCCGGCTTCCTGTGGACCCGAGTAACTGGGCTGTTTCTTCACGGCAGGTGCCCTTGCTTGTGTGACTCATCGGTCAGACCAGGCGGCGGCAGAAACCCACCTGTCACGGGCCCACCCTCAGCGCGAGGACGCCGCGGGGCAGGCTGCGGTGGGCTTCCTGTCTGCAGACCCAGCCGCATCCTCATCTCCAGTCCTGCTAGGCTGCGAGGGCGGGACGCTGCTCTGTGTGCGGCTTGTGTGCCAAGGAAATGGATTATTTTGCCCCTGAGTATTTAAAATTGCCAATAAACAGTTCTTGTTGGCAGGTCGCTAGGAACATAAAGCCTGGGACCCAGCTCGGCGCTTAATTGTCTTGACAGGCAACGTGAAAATAATCACGCCTCAGACCAGTCTGGACCGTGGAGGCTTTTCCCACACGAGCGGTTAAATCGCGAATTCTGCGTGGCGCGTGCCGTGTGCCGCTGTGTCCGGGTGATGAGACACCAAAGGTGTCTCTGAGGAACCCGTCCTGTCCGATTCTTCTGCCATCTCGGGGAGACTTCATGGAGGCGGCTGACCCGCTGATGCTTTAAAAACCAGCGGTGATCACCTGGATAACGTGCACTCGGGGTGCACGGACGGGGGTTCTGCAGAGGCAGCGGGCCTTGGCGTGGGCGGTCGGGCCCGCCTGACAGCTGTCCCTGCGGGCTGTGAAGCTGGACCTCCCCGGAGGGCCGAGACGGAGCCCGCTGGCCTCCCTGGGCGGCTGGGGACCCTGCTCGGGGCCCGCAGCAGGGATGCTGGGAGTCACCAAGATGGGCCCCAAATTGATTAATAGTTCATGGTTGGAGATAAAAAAAAAGTTGACACTTTTGCCCAGCAGATTGGCATCTCCCTTATGCCATGTGACGGTCCTCTCGTGGGGCTGGGCCTCAGCCACCAGGGTTCACGAAGCAGCGGGACTGTGGCAGGACCCCCCCCCCCCCCGCCGCAAAGTCCCGTCCCGGAGAATCAACAGCGCCGTGAGGGATGAGCGGGCTGGGGAGCTGGCGAAGTGGGCGGCGGGCACAGGCAGCCCGCTGACCGTCCTGGGCTGCTCAGGGCGGGACCCTGGCTCTGCCCGTCCGCCGCCACCGCCGCTCGCCTTCCCTGGGCACCGGAGCGTCCAGCCAATTGCCCTGAACCGCACTGTCTCTACAACGTGTCTTTTTGGTGCCACAAATAATAAAAGACTATGAAATTGCAGCCGCCGTGTGAATCTCGTGACTTCAGACCACAGCGTGTTTGGATACCCTGTCCCCAGAGCCGCCGAAATTCATTTATTCAGCCTATAAACATGTATGGCCAGCGTGGGTAATGCTGGGTGCACCCTCACATTGGGGAACCCCAATCGGGCTCCCCTCTCATCTCACCCCAGCAGACAACACAGGCAGGAAGGCAGTGTCACCGTGGTTAATGTTGTCACGAACAGGAAGTGTCCTCGTTCCCCGCATGCATCACGTAGGAAGGGCCCCCCACCTAGAAAGGCCTCCCATGCACTGAGATCCTGCACCGAGGCCGTGTGCCTGAGGTCGGCGAGTCGGGTCCAGGGACAGGGCTCTGCTGCTGGAAACCTAGAGCCGGGAGCACTCAGGGACACAGCTGCAGCCCTGCCTTGGGACCCGGCCTCACATCCACGTCCAGCAAGGACAGCTCGGGTCCTGGGGGGGAGCCCCTCCATCCGGCCGAGCGGTGAGGGCCCCATTGCTAAGGCGTAGGACTTAGAGACCAGAAAGATGTAACTTCCTCCTCTCCCGGCCCAGGGACAAGCCAGGAGGGTTGCACAGAAACCTCGTCAGGGGAGCAGAGGAGCCTGACTCTGAAGGAGACCGCCAAGGGCTCCCGTCCCGCCGGGGCTCTGTCCCCCCAGGGGCTCTGTCCCCCAGGGGCTCCGTCCCCCAGGGCTCCCGTCCCCCCAGGGGCTCCGTCCCGCCAGGGGCTCCCGTCCCCCCAGGGGCTCCGTCCCCCCAGGGGCTCCGTCCCCCCAGGGGCTCCCGTCCCCCCAGGGGCTCCGCCCCCCAGGGGCTCCCGTCCCACCAGGGGCTCCATCCCCCCAGGGGCTCCCGTCCCACCAGGGGCTCCATCCCCCCAGGGGCTCCCGTCCCACCAGGGGCTCCATCCCCCCAGGGGCTCCCATCCCACCAGGGGCTCCCATCCCCCCAGGGGCTCCCCTCCCACCAGGGGCTCCCATCCCACCAGGGGCTCCCATCCCACCAGGGGCTCCATTCCCCCAGGGGCTCCCATCCCCCCAGGGGCTCCCATCCCACCAGGGGCTCCATCCCCCCAGGGGCTCCCATCCCACCAGGGGCTCCATCCCCCCAGGGGCTCCCATCCCACCAGGGGCTCCCATCCCCCCAGGGGCTCCATCCCCCCAGGGGCTCCCATCCCCCCAGGGGCTCCCGTCCCCCCAGGGGCTCCCGTCCCCCCAGGGGCTCCATCCCGCCAGGGGCTCCGTCCCCCCAGGGCTGGGCTTCCCATGGTGGGGGGTTCCGGCTCTGCTGCCCTGGGCACCACGGCTGAGTCACCTGCCGCCCGAGCCCTCTGCACTGGGAGATGACAGAGGGGCCCTGGGAGGGACACGGAGTCCAGATGCCCACTCGTTGCTGAGTGGAGGCTCAGAGGGCATCACGGAACAGTGACCTGCCAGGCCGCACTGCTGACGCCGCTCACGGAGAAACAGGACTTGCCAAGGGCCCTCCCGTGCTCCTCCTGGGTCCCAGGGGCCCACAGGCGGCAGGACCAGGTGTGGGCGCCCCAGGTCGGTTCCTTGTCAAACCCCACGTCTGGAACACCCCCCGACAGAGTCCCCAGACCAGGCGGCCTCGGGGTGAAGGTGGTCATGTTCCTGAGCGGGGAGGTTTATGTTCTCCATTCCCTCACTCTGACCACATTGTCTTTATTAAGCAAGTGCTCATCTGACCATTTAGACAGCGGACGCGGACAGTCACTGTGTAGGACACCAAGCCTGCCCGGGAGGGGACACAGCTCTGGTCAGACCGTGTCCATGTGCCCCTGGTCCCCACGCCCCTGGTCCCCACGCCCCTGGTCCCCACGCCCCTGGCAGTTTCTAGTTCTGGCCCCCGATGCCCTGGCACCTCCAGTGGTCGCCCCAGAGGGGGGCCACCATTTCCTGAGCTCCTGCCAGAGAGGGTGACCTGGCACCATCTGCCCCTCAGAAAGGCTGCGTCCACGGCGGGCACTGCTGACCACACGGTGGGATCCCACCTGCTCTCAGACGTGGCGCTGGACTCGCCCACACAGCGGGAGCTGCCGGGGGCGCGAGGCGGGTGGTGCACGTGTGACTGAGGCAGAGGCCGTGGATCGTGGCCCCGTCACACGTCCCCAAGGCCCCGTGGCGGGGACAGTGGTCTGGCCTCTGAGCCTCCTCATCCACCCCCAGGGCAGAAGGACACCAAGGGCCCCATGGGTTGTGGGCACGGACATGCAGGGAACTGGGTGCACTCCAGAGCGGTCGGCCTCCCCGGGGAGAAGGTGTGGTGGGAAAGAGAAGGTTCTGGAAAGGCAGCCGGAATATCTGTCCCGATGCCCAACGAGGAAAAGGCAAAGGAAGCAAAGTCCATCCGACCGCGGGTCACAGCGGTGCTCTCTGGGGTGTGGACGGTGAGGGTGACCGAGGCCACCTGTGGACCTGAGTCCACTCTCGACGTGGCACGCTTCCAGCGACACAGGCCTGGCCCCTGGGTGTGGTGGGGACCTGCGCTTCCCTCCCCTCCGACAGCGTTCGACAGAGGGACGGCGCCTCCGAGGGCGCCCTCACCCAGGGCCGGGCGGGCACACGGGCCGGCACGCCCCAGGTGCGCCATCGCCTGGCCCCCACCTGGCTGACCGCACAGACGGAACACGTCTCATATCCTACTCACCGGGACAAGCGCCTTTATTCCCGGCTCCTGAGGGTCCGAAGTGAGTCAGCTCCCAGGGAAAAGACCTGTAAGAAGCGGAGCAGTACTGATGAACTAGAGAGGCGTTGTCAAGGCTGGTGATTCGGGGACCCAGAGGGCACAGGCTGGGAGTTGCACCAGCCACTTCCGGTGGCACCAGCCACTTCCGGTTCGTCACGGTGGCCCTGCGGCACACGCGTCAGCTGTGGGTCGCGGAGTTTAAGAATGGAGGGCCCTGACCCGTTTGGCTCAGCGGGTAGAGCGTCGGCCTGTGGTCCGGAGAGACCCGGGTTCGGTTCCCGCTAAGGCCACATGCCTCGGTTGCAGTTTGTCCCCGGCCCCGGTTGGGGTTGTGTGGGTGGCAGCCAGTGGATGTGTCTCTCTCACATCGATGTCTCTCTCTCTTCCTCCCTCCCTCCCTCTCTCCCGCTCTATCTGAAGATAAATGCAAAAATGTCCTCGGGTGAGGATGAAAAACGGAGAGAGAGAGCAGGTCTTGAACAAAGCAGACACCGTGGGCCTCAGCAGGGCTGCCTCCTTCTCCAGTTTAACAACCACGGAAAGCCACTGTGTGCCGGGCTCCGGGGTCCACGCTGGGGAGCCAGGGGCCAGACCCACGCCGGTTCCCGTGAGGAGGGAGACACGTGGGAACTGTTCCCATGAGTGCAAAGACCACTCTGCAGCCTAGGACACAGGTCCCAGCCCCCCGCCAGGGGTGTGGGGCACTGTCCTGGAGGACGGGACCCCTGAGTTCATAGACAAAGAGTGATGAGCTGACCAGTGGTTCTAGACGGAGAAGAAGGTGTGCAGTGGGGCCCGAGAAAGGGGGAGCGGGTGGATGCTCAGGCCACGAGGCTTCAGAGGAAAACAGTAGAATGTTTGGAGCCTCAAGTGTGTCTCCATCCTGAAGGTCTTGGGCTTGGGGTGAGGTTAGATTAGGGTTAGGATTGGGGTTGGAGGTGGGGTTCAGGTTAGGATTGAAATTGGGGGTGGAGTTGGCTTAGGGTTAGGGTTAGGATTGGGGTTGGGGGTGGGGTTCAGGTTAGGATTAGAGTTGGGACTGGGGTTGTGGTTAGAATTGGGGTTGGGGTTGGTGGGTTTGGTGTGGGGTTGGGGTTAGGTTTAGGGTCGGAATTGGGGTTGGGGTGGGGTTGGGATTGGGGTTGGCAGTGTGGTTAGGGTTAGGACTGGGGGTTGGCGGTGGGGTTAGGGTTTGGATTGTGGTTGATAGTGCATGTGGGTTTTGGTTTAGGGTTGGGTTTGGGGGTGGTGTGGGGTTAGGGTTGGGTTTGGGGGTGGGGTTAGGGTTTGGATTGGGGCTGGGGGTTGGGTTGAGCTTGGGGTTAATATTCAGTTTGGGTTTTGGAGACTCTTTATGGAGGAAGTAACAGGATTCACTTAGTAATACCCCCTGGCTACAGAATGGTTGACGGCTCGGCGTGGAGGCCGGCTGTGGTGGGCTTCCTGTCTGCAGACCCAGCCACATCGTGGGCTCTAGTTCTGTTAGGCTGTGGAAGGCGGGACGCTGCTCTGTGTGTGGCTTGTGTGCCAAGAAAATAGCATATATATATATATATATATATATATATATATATATATATTTTCATTTATCTTCAGATAGAGTGGGAGGTAAGGGGAGAGGAAGGGAGGGAGGGGGAGAGAGAGAGAGACATCAACTGGTTGCCTCCCACAGGGCCCCGACCAAAACCGAGGACCAAATCGCAACCGAGGTTCATGCACTTGACTGGAATTGAACCTGCGACTCTCTGGTCCGCTGGCCGACGCTCCAACCGCTGAGCCAAACCGGCCAGGGCTGAGCCAGTCCTTTGAGATCCATCCCGAACCAGAGACACTCACCTGTTTCCCCCGCCCTTCAAGCAACGTCAGAACCTCGGTACACTTTCCCCTCCCCTGCCCGGGCCTCCAGGGCTTTGCTGACATTGCCTAAGATGCTAGTGACTAAACTTCTCTCTGGCGCATCTTTTTCTCCTTACGATTCCCTTCTGCT